ACGCAACACACAACCGATTTATATTTAATGAATTTTATGTAATTTTTCTAAAATAGTGATTTAATTCTTAAAAAATACACTTTTTTAAATAAATTCACGACAACGACGACTGGAAAATGGCGCAAAACTACAGTTATATTTGACGGATGTTCAGCATCATGCAAAGACGTAGTTGCATTTGCAACGGCGTTAAAAAGCTATACCAAAGCCACAATGGAGTTTTAAATTAAGGCTGCTTAAACGGCATATACATTAGAACTTTTTACCGGTTAACCTACTTTATGAGGATTTATTTAACGAAATCCGGTTAAATGTAAACGTACTATTATATGCAGTACAAATACAAAAACAATAAATACATATTTCAGCTATTTCATTGGAAAGACCAGATTCCTACCTCTAGAGGTAAACAGAAACCTTATAGGAATCCTCGGAAGACAAACTGGGACAAATTCAAAGCTAAAACAGAAGCCTCGACCCTGTATCATAAAGATCTTAAAACGGTTGAGGATGTTGAATTAGCTGTGAATAATGTCACGGCCAATCTTCTGAAGTGCTACCCTGGGAAAAAATCTCAGCCGGTATGGTGGTCACTAAACCTTGCAACCTTGCGGAAGGCTGCAAGGAAATCTTACAATAGAGCTAGTAAGACAAAGCTCAGTGCAGATTGGGATGTCTATGAAAGACAATTCAATTGGTACAAGAGCGAAATCAAGAAGGCTAAACGTGGGTCTGCTATAGCGAGTCAATCGAAGGAGTTAACGAAGCGGCCAGATTCCGCAGAGTACTATCTAAGGATCCAAAATCCATAGGTAGTATTAAGCGAAGTAATGGAACGTGGACAAACTTTGGCAGTGAGACTCTTGATCTTCTATCGTTAACCCACTTTCCTGGTTGTAGAGACTATAGGGAGGGTGCGCATTGTGTGCATTAGCCTAAAGTTCGGACGAGGTAGGAGGAGAAGTGGATAGAAGATACTATAAGACACTCAAAACTGATATGGGCGATTAACAATTTTCAACCCTATAAATCTCCTGGCCCAGATGGTATAATACCGGTCAAGCTGCAACACGCAGATGAACGAGTAATATCATCTCTGCAGGACATTTTTAGGGCTTGTTTACTTCTGTCGTACATACCAAGTCTATGGAAAGAGGTAACAGTTACCTTCATCCCGAAAGCCGGGAAGCCGAGTCATACGCTACCAAAAGACTATAGACCGATTAGTCTTTCTTCCTTTCTACTCAAGACTTTAGAAAGGTTACTAGACGCAGAAATTAGGAATACCATTGACCATAGTAAACTTAGCAAATCCCAACATGCTTACATCAAAGGCAGATCAGTGGATACAGCCCTGCATGAGGTGGTTTGGTGCATCGAGAAGAATATGGAGTCCTGTGGCTACACTTTTGCAGCATTCTTCGATATTGAGGGAGCTTTCAATAATGTGAAGCTAGAAGCCATCCATTCTGCTCTCGTAAGCACAGGTATCCCCTCACTCCTTACGGAATGAATTGATAGAATGCTGGAAAGCAGAATTATGCACTAATCCTTAGGAGGGAGTTCCGTGTGGAAATCTGTCAACAGAGGCACACCACAGGGAGGAGTACTATCCCCCCTTTTGTGGCTTCTGGTGATAAATTGAGATACATTTAACCGGATGAAATTCAATCATCTCATATATATCAAGGTTGTAGCCTATGCCGATGATGTAGTTCTAGTTGGGGTTAAGTTTCTAACGACAATTGCAGACATTCTGGAGGATATCCTTTCAACCCTGTCTAATTGGGCTTGCACCAAAGGTCTTGGTGTGAACCCCACTAAAACAGAACTGGTGCTCTTAACAAGGAAACGCAAGATTCCTAGTTTCCGTCTTCCATCACTGGGAGTAGTGACTTTAACCCTTTGTGAAGAAGCAAAATATCTTGGCACCATCCTTGCCCATTCTTAAACGACATGTACATTAGAACTTTTTACAGGGGTTAACCTTCTTTATGAGGATTTATTTGACATATATTCAAAGGAATTGACAATTGAAACCCACTGGGTTAACGAAATCAGGTTAAATGTAAACGTACTGTTACCTATGGTAAGCAATGCATATATAATTCTATACGGAGTAGCTATGTAATAAGGTGTAATCTTTGTAATTAACTTTAAATTGGCCACATGAATTATAAATTGGCTTAAAAAGCAACGGAATTAAATAAATAAAATAAAAGGCCCTAGAAAAAGCTCAAAATTCGCGTGGCTTAGTTCCGATCGTTCATTTCAAAGAGCCGCCTTTCTTTTGAACTACTGCGTTCACGAAACAAAACAACTCTAGACGACTTGTCAAAAATCGATCTACTCATCCCAACAGTAAATGAGAAAATTTACAATTACTTGGATGGAGAAAAATAATTTTTTGAACATTTTAAAAGAATTGAAAGGAAATTTTTAGTTTTTCACCTAAACAAAATACGAAATCAAAAGGTAATAATTGACAAGGAACGAGCAACAAAAACTATGTAAATTAAATAGCAATTGCAAAATGACGAATTTTTGTGGTTATGTTGCTAAAAAGGGAAAATGTCAGTGCTGTGACAAAAGAAAAAAAATAGACGTACAAATCAAAAAACCAATAAGAAACGAAATGAAAAAAAAAAATACAAATAAAACAACATTAAAGTGCGATGAATGTTAAAAAAGTTATTTATTAAATAAATGTATAAAAATTTATATTTTACAAAAGTGTTTTGCCAAAAAAAAACAAAAGAAAAAATTTTGTAAAGGCTGTGTGAACCAGAAAGAAAAAAAATTATTGAGAAATCATGGAGCCCCCATACATAATAACCCTTAGCGAGTAAAAGAGAAAGAGCACATCAAATAAGTGGTTTAATAACATTTGACATGAGTTGGAAAGAGTGAGCATGCTACACTAAACAAGGTTAAAACAAAAGTCAGCAGGAACAAAAAAAAAAAAATATAACAAGCCAACATTTCTTAACATTATTTTAATTTTTATTGCTTGATGGCTGGCTGGTTGTTGTTTTTCGTGTGCGTGTGTGTGTTTGTTGTTTTGGGGGAAAACAAAAATATATTTTGTGTGTGCAAAATAACAAACAAATAATAAACCAAGTGGCTCCAAAGGATTTATAAAATTAAAAATTATATATTTTTTAAATATATACCCTTAATTTTAATTTCTTCCTTGTGTTTTTTTGAGTATGTAAATTGTTAAGTATATGTGATTTTTTTTCTTTTATAAAAAATTAACTTCCTGTTTACTATCCCATTACCCAGTGTGAAACTTGAAACTCAAATTTGTGTGAGTGTTTGTGTGTGTTGCTCTTCAAGATGTTGAAATTATTAACTTTCACAAAAAAAAAATCGAGAAAAAACTAAATTAATTTGCAATTTTAAATGTAACATCATCATTGTTGTTGTAATGTGTCTACACATACACAATGTGTGGTTTGTTAAAATTTATTTAAATATTCTATGTGATTAACATATGGTGGTTTAACAAAACCAAGCAAACATCTTCCTGCTTGCCTGCCTGCATACATAACTGTTTTTCTTTTTTTTTACATCTTCTTTTGCTGCGCTTTGAAGTTTTTTTTGTTTTTGTGATCCATTTTGAAAACGATAACAACAACACCATAAAAAGCTTGGTTTATGGAGCCATCAGTGGCAGCTTGGCTTCTTTTTTTGTCCACTGCTTGACTTCTTCTTCTTTATGCTCATTGTTGTCCGTGGTTATGTGTGTTAATTTATTTTTTGGGTGATTTTGTTGTTGCATTGCGTTTTTTTCTGTATGTGTGTTTGTATGTACACAGAGGAGACAAAAGCACAGAGTGTGTTGTTGTTATGTATCATTACCCACACTCCACCAACAACAACGAAATAAAGAAACTGACAATAAATAACCTTCACTTTTTGTGTATTATTTTTTGGAGTTTATTTACTCCACCGCACTCTCGATATATTTTTCATTATCAATAATTTGTTTATTTGATCTTAATGGAAATATAAGTACGTGCGTACGTGATTATACGGATTATTTTTTGGAAAAAAAAAAATTGACAGCAAAACGATGACCGTTGTTGTTGGGCTTTGTGTCTATGAATTGCAAAATTTCAAGGCACTGAAGGTAAAACATAAACATATTTGTAGGCTTCGTGGAACTTATTTTTTATAAAATATGTTTAGTCATTTTCCTGCAGGAAACGATAATAAAAAATTAAGGATGTTAAAAATTAAAATCCTGGGGATGTTGGGCTTAAGGTCTAGTTTAAGGTCGCGGGTCATTACCACAGTTGATTAACCTGTGACCCCCTATTCAGGATAACCCAGCCAACTTTAACCGCTCATGAACAATCACGCGCGTTGTTATGATGATTTTTAGATAACGGTCAAGTAGTGACCAATGACGGCTACTTTTTGGTCATTCGGTAACATCCGTAAAGTTGTCGTTTCTGTCGTCACAGGTGAAAAGTTTAAGTTTCGAGATTTGTTTTTTCTGACATGTTATTTTCAGATTTAAATTTTAATCTATAAATTCCCATTCGACCCTGAAAAAATTTTTAACTTATAATAATTTGTAACACTTTATTTTTTCTATTTCAGATATTACAACAAATTTTCTCCAACACAACAAAGGAATTCTCAATTTTCTTATCATTTGCAATAATAACAACAACAAAAAATATTTTGTGCGTTTAAAAAACCCACTAGTAAAGCAAAGCTACAAACATACGGACCATTCGAACATTGAAAAGATCACGGCCACAATCACCACCTCCACCACCAATAAAAACAGAAGCAGCAACGGCTACAAAGGAGGATAACAATAAAAATCCATCAGCAGAAGTAGCAGCAACAACATCGTCGTCATCAGCAGCATCATCATCTTCATCACCAACCACAACAACATCGCATTATAGTAGGCCGTTGAAGACAGAACCACAAAGTAAACGAACATTACCATCCACAATTAATTCGTGTCCACACCCACATAAAATGCAACGTCCAAGTTCCCATGGAACTTCTTCTGCACAGAAACACACAAATTTGGATGAAATATGGACCGATTTGGAACAGGGCATAAAACAAGTATTCCAACAAGAACAATCACTGACAAAGGAACGTTATATGCAACTGTATACCTATGTCTATAACTATTGTACCAGTGTCAATACCGTTCAGAACAACAACAATCGTTCGAATAAGTTGGGTGGCGCCCAACTCGTGGGCAAAAAACTCTATGAACGTCTAAAGGATTTCCTTAAAGATTATCTAGCCGATTTGCTAACAAATTTCAAAGCCATCAAAGGTGAAGAAGTTCTCTTGGACCACTACACAAAACAATGGGTTCTATATCAGTTCTCCAGCACGGTTTTAAATGGAATTTGTTCATATCTGAATCGGCACTGGGTTAAGCGTGAATATGAAGAGGGTCAGAAGGGTATTTATGAGATTTATCGTTTGGCATTGGTCACATGGAAGGAACAATTGTTCAAGGTTCTCAATGAACCGGTTACCAATGCTGTCCTGAAATCCATAGATGAGGAACGTCGTGGTAAGACCATTAAACGATCATTGGTACGCGATGTCATCAATTGCTATGTGGAATTGGGTTTTGATGAGGAGGAGGATATGGACAACAAGGATACGAAAAAGCAGAAATTATCTGTCTACCGTGATCATTTTGAAAAGAAATTCCTGGCCGAAACAGCTGCTTTCTATAAACATGAATCGGAGGCATTTTTGAGCAGCAACACCGTGTCGGAGTACATGAAACATGTTGAGAAACGTTTGGATGAGGAACGTAAAAGGGTCAACAGTGCTGATTTTAATTCAGTGTTAACCTCATACTTGCATGTCAGTACTTTGGATAAACTGGTGGAGACCTGTGAAGTGGTAAGTGCATTACATGACTTGACTGAAATCAGTTTTAACTAATTTTCTTTTTTATCTTCAGGTTCTCATTGAAAAACACTTGGATATATTCCGTTCTGAATTCCAAAATCTCTTAAATGCCGACAAGAATGCCGATTTGAAACGCATGTACACCCTGGTAGCTCGTACGCCACGAAATCTCAACGAACTGAAAACCATTTTGGAGGAACACATTCTACAACAGGGATCACAGGCCATTGAAAAATGTGGCAATACCGAAGCCGCCAACGATCCCAAAATCTATGTCCAAACCATACTGGAGGTACACAAAAAATATAATGCTCTCGTTTTGACCGCCTTCAACAATGACAATGGCTTTGTGGCCGCCCTCGATAAGGCCTGTGGCAAGTTCATCAATTCCAATGTTGTTACCCAGGCCAGTAGCGCCAGCAAATCGCCAGAATTACTTGCCAAATATTGCGATATTCTCTTGAAGAAATCATCGAAAAATCCCGAAGAAAAAGAACTCGAAGATAATCTCAATCAGGTGATGGTCGTTTTCAAATATATCGAAGACAAAGATGTCTTCCAGAAGTTCTATTCGAAAATGTTGGCCAAACGTTTGGTGAATCACACCTCCGCCTCCGATGACGCCGAGGCTGTTATGATATCGAAATTGAAGCAGACCTGTGGCTATGAATACACCATTAAATTGCAACGCATGTTCCAGGACATTGGTCTATCCAAAGATCTAAATAATAATTTCAAACAATATCTACAGACGGCTAATATTCCAATGGAAATTGATTTTAGCATTGAAGTTCTATCCTCAGGTTCGTGGCCATTTAATCAGAGCAGTAGTTTCTCATTGCCGACGGAATTGGAGAAGGCTGTGCAACATTTCAATACATTCTATGCTGCTCGCCATTCGGGTCGTAAATTAAATTGGCTATATCATATGTGTAAGGGTGAATTGGTGACAAATTGTTTCCGCAACAAATATACACTGCAGGCCAGTACGTTTCAAATGGCTGTTCTATTGCAATTCAATGATCAGACACGTTATACCATAAAACAATTGTTGGATAATACACAAATACAATTGGAGAATTTAGTACAGGTAAATATAGCAACAAAACTCAATATTAAAAAAAACCGAATCTACTATAAAAAAAAATAATCCTGATTCAAAATGTATTTGTGTCAGAAGATGTTCAAAAGTCCTCCTGGTCGTTTAATTTTTTTAGTTTAATATCAAAGGTCTTCTTACGAAATAATGTTTACGGAAGTCCAAACAGTTTGTTTCTGCCTTTTTTGGATCTCGAAAAAATATTAATTTAAATTCTAAAATTTTAATTTATAATCCGCGCCTATTGTAGAAGACACTGTACATCCAGAAAAAATGTCCTCGCTCAGAAGAATTTAAAAACAAATTATTTTAAAATCCACGCCTATTAAAGACCCGGAAAAATATTCTTTTAAAATCCAAAACTATTGAAAAACCTGAAAAATATTCCCTTAAAATCCACGACTATTGATAACCCGAAAAAAAATCTTTTAAAATCCAAACCTATTGAAGACCCTGAAAATATTATTTTAAAATCCACAATTATTAAAGACCTTCAAAAAATATTCTTTTAAAATCCACGCCTTTTGAAGACCCTGAAAACATTTTCTTTTTAAATCCACGCCTATTGAAGATCTGGAAAACATAATTATTGCCCTTGAAAAGAATATTCTACCATGTAGATCCTAAGTTTTAATTCTTTTTTACTCATTTACAGGTTTTACAAATTTTACTCAAGGCAAAACTTCTAACCTGTCCCGATGATGAAAATTCCCTAACACCCAACTCGGTTGTGGAATTGTATGCCGACTATAAGAATAAGAAATTACGCATTAACATCAATCAACCTTTGAAGACTGAACTTAAGGTCGAACAAGAGGCCGTACATAAACACATTGAAGAGGATCGCAAGCTGTTGATTCAGGCCGCCATTGTGCGCATTATGAAAATGCGACGAAAGCTCAATCACACACAGCTCATTACCGAGGTCATCAATCAGTTGTCGTCGCGTTTCAAGCCCAAGGTGCCGGTTATCAAGAAATGCATAGACATTCTAATAGAGAAGGAATATTTGGAGCGGATGGAAGGACAAAAGGATACCTATAGCTATTTGGCGTAAACAACATTACACCAAACACAGCAAAAAGAAAACAAATCCAACAACAAGAATACAACAAAAGGAAACAAAAGCAACGATGTGTAATTGTCTCTCTGTGTAATTTGTTGTGTATGTATGTGTGTGTGCAGAAGCAGCAGCAGCAACTCATGCAAATTGAAAAAAGGAAATCTGCTGGTGAAGAAAATTAATGTTTCTTTGAATACAACCAGGGTTCATTCATTTTTTGTTTTCTATCACTGGCTCCTAGGGGCTCCCATCCATCCTCCTCCTCCTCCCCTAAAAGAAAAGACCAACTTTCACATCACTGCGCAGTAACAACTTCTTGTGTTTATGATCTTCAACATTTTTCATATTTTTATTACATATTTTTTTTAGTTTGTATTCATTGTCTCTGCACTTTATCGATCAATTGATTTCATTTTTTATTTACTTCTTTCCTAATTTCCTCCTCCCTAATTTTATCACATCATAAATTGAAATTATTATTTAAAAAATAAATTGTTTTATTTGTTTATAAGACGTTGTTTTTAAACATCGATATCCCATATATATTTTTGTGTTTTGCTTGTTTTCTAAATAACAAGACAATCTTTTTGTTTTCCCTCCCTCACTACCTTTGGCACTCAAAATTGATTTTGTTGTTCTCCATTAGAAATTAGTTAAAAACTAGAATATTAGATGAAATTTTTTTGAACAACTTATTTTTAATTTACAATAATTAGAGGACAATGATTTACCGCGAAATTCGATTAAGAGAAATTCTAGACAAAAAATAAATCAATATGAAATTATTCATGACATATTTGGTTATAAACATGTTTTAATATTTTGTTTATATACGTTTCCTACCACCCACCCGCACCCTCAAGCACAAATCCGCCAATATGTTCTTTGCTTAAAAACGAAATCGCCATCTCTCCACCCATACAAACAAAAAATATAAAAATGATGAAAACTAAAGTTTTCTTTAAAATTACGAAATACCACATTTTGCTCTTAGCTTTAAAAATAAAAATATAAATAACAAAAAAATAACAGATGTAAGCTTCGTATTTTTTTCTTGTAATATTTAAGATAATTTAAATAAAAAATATAAAACAATAAATTCTTATTTTATATTCTGTTTTCTTTTTGGTTTTCATATTTAAATATTATTATTATTATTATTTTTTGCCCATGACAACAACAACATTATAAATGATTTGTACGATGGGACGCGTCACCAGCAACACTCCTTCCCCCCTCATTCAAGAGAACAGAGAAAAAACAAAACATAATGTGTGTGTGTGTGTTAAATATAAATTAAGATATCAAAAATGAAATAAACAATAAAAATTATAATAAAAACTAATAAATTAATTTTTTAATCGAGTTGATTTCAATGAGGAGAGGCCGAAAGTGTTTCTATAGAGGACCTTAGGTCTATCTAGTGGACCATAAAAAATATTTTCTTTTAAAAGCAACGGCTAAAGGGGACACAGCCCTAAAAAAATTATTTTTAAAAATCCACGCCTTATGTAGACCCCTAAAAAATATTTAAAAAAACTTATGTAGACCCCTAAAAAAATTCACGCCTTATGTAGACCCCTGAAAATTTTGTTTTTAGAAAATAATGGATCCCTTAAAATAATTATTTTTGAAAATCCACGCTTTAGGTAGACCACAGAAAAAATTATTTTAAAAAACAACGCCATATTAGGATCCCTGAAAAAAAATTTTATTGGTATGTATTTATATACGACATTCTGGATTGGATCATGTTAATGCCACCGCAGTATTTAATTTTACTTCCATGATTCATCTATTAGCTGTGGCTCAGTCCACACTTGAAAAAGATTTCATCAGTTTTGTGTGTGCTTTAGTATATATAGCCTGCATCTGCAGTGATTTACTGTTGGCTATCGATCGTACCTTTTGTGACCCAATAAAATGGAACATCCGACATCTCCTAGAATTTCTCCACAGAAAAACACAAATTTTGATGAAATATGGACATATTTGGAACAAGGCATACAACAATTATATCGACAGGAACAACCACCAACAAAGGAGCGTTATATGCAACTCTATACACATGTCTATAATTATAAAACCGCTTGGGATAAAAACGGGCAAACCAATAGGTTTGTTACTGCCCAAGAGCCAGGCAAAAAACTCTATAATCATTTAAAAAATTGCTTAAAAAATTATGTTGCCGATTTAATTACGAATTTTAACGTGATCGTAGATGGAGAACTTCTCTTGGAACAATATACAAAACACTGGCTTCGGTATCAGACCTCCAGCAATCTATTAAATTCAATATATTCATATCTGAATAGGCATTGGGTACAGCGTAATTGTGATGAAGGCCAACAGGGTATTTATGAGATTTATCGCTTGGCCTTGGTATTATGGAAGGAACACATGTTCGATGTTCTCCATGAAACGCTAACAAATACTGCTTTAAAGTCAATTAATGAAGAACGTCGTGGTAAGATCATTGACCGCTCTATGATACATGATCTCATCAACAGCTATATAGAATTGGGTTTTGACGAGGACGAGACGTATTATTGGAGCAAAAGGATGACGAGAAATGCGAGCCTATCTGTTTATCGTGATTATTTCGAAAATAAATTTCTAGCTGAAACAGCGGATTTCTATAAACATGAGGCGGATGAATTATTGAGCAGCGAAAACTTATCGGATTATATGAAACATGTGGAGAAACGTTTGGCGGAGGAACGTGAAAGAACATATTTACATGCCAGTACTTTGGATAAATTGTTGGAGACTGGTAAAGAGGTAAGTGGTAGCAAACAATAAATTAATTCAATTCAGTTTTAACTTTGTTTTTCTCACTCCACAGGTATTTTTCCAACAATATTTGTGGTAATTTGTTACTCCGCTTGTTCCCAATGAACTGAAAAATGATTTTAAAGGACTCAGTTGTACAACAATCATATCCAAGCCGTAAATTACCCACTTCAATTGCAATCTGACCCATACCCAATTATTAAATATATCTACTCCTATATTAGCTCCTTTCAAAATCAATCCCCATTGAAGCTCATAAAAAAATGTTCTCATAAAAAAATATTTTAAAAAAATCCACGTCTTATGTAGGCCACTGAAAAGAAATTATTTTAAAAAATCCACGCCTTTTTTAGACCAGCTTTTATATGCCTCCTGTGCTATGGCATCTTCATCCATTCTCACAACATGACCTAGCCAACATAGTCGCTGGTACAACTCATGGTTCATTCGACGGCGATATTCACCATCAACGCAGATCCACCCATAGATCTTTCGGAGACTTTTTCTCTCAAACACTCCAAGAGCTGCCTCATCTGCTTGCGCAAGTACCCATGCTTCAGATCCATATAACAACACGAGTAGACCCCTTTAGAACTATTTTTAAAAATCCCCCAAAAGAAAAGAATAATTTGAAATATATTATATTCATATTATTTAAGAAAAAAATCTCTTTTCTTATACAAAAATATCTTAAAATTAACAAATGGCAACCATTTTCATGTGGAAGGCAAATATCAGAGAGAAATATTTAAAATTAAATTAAAAAATAAGAAATAATTTGCTTGTTATTTAGCAAATTTACAGAGAGACCATGATAAATAAAGGCAAGTTTGTGTTTTCGTAAAACTAAAAAAATTATGGAGGAGGTCATGAGGCCTCCCACCATTTACATAGCAAAACAAATTATTTGTATTATTGCTTTAAACAAATGCGTGATTTGTGAATGTTTTTTGTAATGTAATTAAGTATTGTTGATGATTGGATATTAAATGACTATATATGTATATATATATATATATATATATTGTATATAATTTCTTTAGCAAAAATTTGATTCTAACACAAATGAACAAAAATCTTATAACAATTTCGTTGTTAATTTTTTGTTTATCAGAAAATAGAAAATTTGTTCATATATTTCTTTTTCATTTTTTGAGAATTAGTTTGTAAATTTGTACGCAATGATGTGACACTTGGTTAAATTACACCTTCTTCATCAGAGTATATAAAGACAGACAGAGAGTGAAAGACAAAAAATGAGAATTGTTTTTAAGTTGTCTTATTCGACGACTTTTCATTGAAACGTAAAATACGTGTTAGCATCGATGTGAGGCAAGGTATTTGTTTTTGTTGATCCATAATGGGCCGCGAGGGTACACACGATTCAAAGCCCACAGCCACACGTTGGCTAACAAATGTCAATAGCGTAAGCATATCATATTTTTTACCATTTCTATTCAATTCTTCTACCAATGACTGAATATACCATGAGCCATCTGTGGTATTGCGCCAAGAATAGAAACCTAGAAAAAGAAAAAAAAAACGCAAAGAAAGATATTACACACACTAATTGTCATAATGGCAGAGCTTCAAACACAAACCTGGTATTGTTGAATAGGAGATTAGAAAATCCGCATGTACCGGTATACGATATGTCATTTCGGAAAATGTTTCACCATCCGTTTCAGTCTTTTGTAATTTAATTCCTGGATCTAAACGATCGCCTCGACAGGCTTGTATAAAGAACAATTTTGGTTTTCCAGCTAATGTGGGGCATTCATGGGCAGTAAAATAGTGCCAGATATTTTCGAGTTTATACATAACATCTTTGGCATATAGATAACCATGTTCACCATGGGTGAGTATTGCAACGGCTATACAATCATTATCGCTGTGATCTTGGGATGCAGCTGAAAGTATGGGGTAGAATATAAAATAGAATCATTAATAAATTATTTCATTTAAAAAAATTAAAAAAAAAATGTTTTTCAAGGTCTAATGGATAATAAAAATATTATTTCAGAAGCGTTGATTTTTGAAGATTATTCTTTTAAATCTAATAGATAATAAAAATATATATTTTGTCAATGCATATAAGTGGCGATGATATTTCTATACTAATAAAAGAGTAAAGTGATTGACTGACTGACTATGGGTTTTCGGAAAATCGAAATATATATATACGAAAAGTACTGAAATGTACTAAATTTGGTGCAATTTCGTAGCATGTGAATTGATTGAGCTAAAAACTTGAAATTTGGAATGCAAATTAAAGTTGAGAAGTAGGGTCGATATAAGGAGCTGGCTTTGGAAGCGTGTACTTATGTATACGAAAAGTACTATATGGTACTATATACGGTACAAATTTAATTTGGAGGTACAAATTGAGTTGGAATCCTGAAATTTGAAAATAACATTACCGTCGGAGTGTAGGATTGGGATATGTACGTAGTTTTGGCAATTTGTTAGTTATGTGTACGAAAAATACTAAATCGTAGTATAATCGGTACAGTTTGGATTTGGGTGAACCGATAGAGCGCGAACAATGAAATTTGTAGTCAGGATTACTGTTGGGGTGTAGAAATATTGTATGTAGAGAATTTTGAAAATTCGTAATAATGTGTACTACATGGTACCAAATTTGGGGTGAACCGATAGAGCTGGAATCATTACATTTGGAGTTAGGATCATTATTGGGGTTAAATTGAGCTATTTAGGAAGTTTTGGAAATTCCTACTAATGTGAACTAAATTTTGTACAATTTAAATTTTGGGTGAAACGATGCATGATGTTTTGGAAATTTGTACTAAATGGTACCAAATGCAGGTTTGTACTAAATGTACCAAATGCAGAACCGATTGAGCTGGAATTTTTAAATTTAACGTTCGGATCACTTTTGGGGTGTAGGATTGGGTTTTGTGGAAAGTTTTGGAAATTCGTTCTAATGTGTACTAAATTTAGTACAATTGAACTTTTAGGTGAACCAATTGAGATGGAAACATTGAAATTTGGAAATAAGGTAGTGTAGGATTAGGGGATGGATGCAGTTTTGGAAATTCATACTTATGGGTACTATGTTGTACTAGATTTGGTACAATTTGAATTTTGGGTGAACCGATAGAGCTGGAACATTGAAATTTGGAAATAAGGTTACAGTTGCAGTGTAAGATTAGGTTTGAGAAATTTATATTTATGGGTACTAAATTTGGTACAATTTGAATTTTGAGTGAACCGATAGAGCAGGGATCCTGAAATTTGAAGTTAGATCTTTGTTGGGATGTAGTATTGAGCTATGTAGAATATTTTGGAAATTTGAACTAATGTGTAAAAAATGGTACCAAATTGTGATTTGGATGAACCGATAGAGCTGGAATCTTGAAATTTGATGTTAGAATCACTGTTGGGTTGTAGGGTGGTGTTTGTAGAAAGTTTTGGAAATTCGTACTAAATTTGGTAGAATATTTTGTAAATTTGAACTAATGTGTAAAAAATGGTACCAAATGTGGATTTGGGTGAACAGATTGAGTTGGAATCTTGACATTATATGTTAGGATCACTGTTGGATTGTAGGTTGGGAGTTTGCTGGAAGTCCTGAAAATTCGTACTAATGTGTACTAAATTTTGTACAATTTAAATTTTGGGTGAATCAATACAGCTGGAATCCGGTAATTTGGTTATTGTTGGGGCGTAGGATTGGGATATGTAGAAAGTTTTGGAATTTTGTACCAATGTGTATAAAATGTTACCAAATAAGTATTTGAGTAAACCGATAGAGCTAGAATCTTGAAATTTGAAGATAGGATCACTATTTGGGTGTAGGATTTAGCTACGTATAAAGTTTTGGAAATTCGTACTAATGTGTAAAAATGGTATCAAATTTGCATTTACGTAAAATATCAGGTGAACCGATATTGATAATTTTTGGTAGGATTATTTACCACTCAATGATAATAGGAATGACAACTTTTATATACACTCCACCTTTTGGAGAAATGTATAAAAACACACACCACTTATTTATAAATATTCCTTTCTCCAATAAAAAAAAAATATTGAAGCAATTTTCCCAAACAAAAAATACTGAATAGAAATTAATTAGTGTAATTTATTATTTGTTTCGCAATACTGTATAAAAATTAATAAAAAGTAATCCCCCCATCCATGCCAAATTCAATCACGACAATGCAAAAATTATCTTATCTATTAAACGTCTATTCAAGAAAAAAATCCCTTTAAGTAGGCAATAAAATGCATTTCCAGTATTTCTATATTGTGTTTAGATTCTATATTGTGTTTACTTTAGATTAATACGATGACGATGACTACCATAATTTCGTTTCACTTTCATTTGCTGATTTGTGTGTGTGTGTGTTTTTTTTTTTTTTTTTTGTATTATTTGATTGATATTGGAGTATATACTTACCGCTTTCGATATGTTTATATAAATCACGCAATTTACAATCTTTGTAAATGTTCACATCAAAATCTAAATTCTTCAATGCCATCTTTAGTTTTTCACAGTCGACATTGGTACCTTTGCGCGGTTCCAACGATGGTATATCATAATATTCATGATTAAAAATTAGGGCTATACCGCGTCGTTTGTGATTCATATTGTATTCCATGGCGTTACGTTCGGTGGGCATGCGGGCGACCGATGCTATTTCAAAGCTAAAAAAGGAAATGATGAGAAATTTGAATGTACTTTTTTTGTTCACAAAGAAGAAGAAGAAAATTAAAAAATAATGATTTCTGTATGTTTATTATGCAAAGACGTATCACATCTACTACCTATGTTATCAGAAGATAAAACAACATTTCAGAGAACATTTTTCATAGAAGTCCAGCCACATTTCCAGGTTCCAGCCAGGCTTTATTGGTATTTCGGGTTCTCAAAGAATAAAATATGTTGTAAGTGTATTATAGCTTCTAGAGCGCTTAAGAGTTTGTAAAGCCGCGAAATACCCACCTTTTTGTATATCAATCATAATATCTCGACAAAGTCGAGGCCTTTGTAGCCATATGTGTCCGTCCGCCTCTTCCTTATAATTTGTAAACACGACACAGTCAAAGTTATGGACCAACTTTGGCAATGTACCAAAAACTTTATTTCTTTTGTTTTTCTGGACGCTGTAGAAGCTACAAGCTACATTTCATGGCCCGAATATCACAATAATCTACAAGGAGAAAGGGATCTGAACAAGGAACAATTGTGTCATTTTTCATGACAATCGGTCAATATTAAAATTTAGTGCCGAGGTTTGGGGATGCCGTTTTATGAGAGCTACCCTCCAACTTGGTCCAAATTAAGTGCAAGGATGTACCACACAATGATAACACCAATTTCAGTGAAACACGTGTCCAAAATCCTATGGGTGCTACACTGAAAATTGGGTCAATATTAATAATTATTGGTACGAAGATATGATATACAATGAGAACCCTAATAAAGCAGATCACAGCCAATTCCGTTGAAAAACGCGTCCAAAATCCCAAAAATACCGAATATTGCGGGCTACCTTTATATGGGGACTACCCTGAAACATGGGTCAATAATAATTAATTTTTTCGTAGTTAGAATTGATACCCAGTGAGAATACGAAATACCAAATTACAGCCAATATGGTTGAAAATCGGTTCCATACCTAACATCGAGGGTAACGTTATATGGGAGCCATACTGAAACTTGGGTCTATATTAATAATTTTTAGTACGGGGAAGTGCTATACAATAAGGACCCATAATATCAATTTACAGGCAATTCGGTTGGAAAATGTGTCCAAAATCCTAAAAAATACCGAATATTATGTGTGGTACCTTTATATGGGAACTACCCAGAAACTTGGATCAATATTAATCATTTTTTGGTAGTGTGATTTGACAGTCAATAAGAAACCAAAATAGCAAATCACAGCCAATTGGTTTGAAAACCCGTGTCCAAAATCCCAAAAATAACGAATATTACGGAGTACCATTATACGGAGGCTAAACCAAAACGTTTAACAAACTTAATGGGAGTACTAACAATGTCTGTGCAAAATTTCAAAGCTCCATCTTATGAGATAATTGGTTGGGGTGGTTTTGAAATTGTCCTGATCCGTCGTTGCATTCTTGGAAGATAATGTTTGTATTTTTTGAAATTCTTTGAAATTCGGTTCAAGATACTTTTTCAAAATCATATGCTGCAATAATGTTGAGGATAACTCCAAATTATGTTTGCATCCATATTTAAATGAATCTTCAAAATTTTGTTTTTTTCTCCTCTATACATGGACTTTAACCTAGACATTTCAGATTTGTAGCATTTTTATCTACAATTGGAGTTTTAGCATTTTTTATTTGTTATTATTAGATCTTCAGATAAAAAGGACTTACCTGGCGACTTTGCCATTTGTTTGATGCGATTGTAGAACACCGTTTGCAGTCTTATTTCCAGCAGATGGATCTTCACCACCCATAATGCCCATACCCAAAGCATCTGGACGATCACCAATCTCGTCGTAATCGTCGTCTGTACAACTACGACGAAACGTCGAATCCGTTGTTGCATTTCGTGTGGCAGCAGTTGTATTCATTTTTAGTGTAGCTTTTGTTATATATTCAATTGTTGTTGTTCTTCTAGTCGTTGTTGTAGTTGATATGCATTCGTCTGTCATTTTGATGGTTGGTGTCCACTCTGTTGATGTTGTTTTTATTTATTTGATTTTTTTTAATAAGTAATATGATTCAATAGTACTATATATTTTCTTTCAACTTAAGTTTTTCCCGATAAGAGAACGACGAACACACAATGTAAAACACCACAACGACGAACTGTGGCAAGCAGGCAGGCAATTTGAATAAAACAAAACTATTGCGTCGCGTTTGGAGGAAGTATTTGATTTGAGGAGTAGTGGAAATCAAAACACCATCTCTGTTCTTTAACTTTCCCAATGTTAATTCTGCTACTGCTCCTCCTCTATCCTTTAGTTTTCTCTAATTTCACCCACAATAAGGTATAGAGCGAGCATCGACGCCGACTATTGCAATGCACACGCACAATTCAAACACTCACTTTTCAGGACGAAACAAGCAGACACGCCAATTTTTTTTTTTTTTTTTTGGTTATAACCCCACACACTACTTATTGTCAAGGCCAAGAATAATCGGCCGGGCGCACTGTTTGCTGTTGCACTTGCCAGCAAAATAGATTAAACACTAGTTATTGCTATTTGTCACCGATTCAAAATCAAACTGTTTTAATTGTTCATTTTTTTGTCATTTCTTTGAACAAATTTGTTTACAAATATGGTCATCAAACGCCAAAACGGCTTTTATTGTTTTGCTGTTGTTGTAATGCATTTTTATGACGTTTGATTTTTTGGAGGTTATGCATTTTGTTTTAAAACTAACATCGTTCATCGAAGATGATAAAGTGCAACACACAAATCTATCGACAGCAACAACAACAAGCGGTATTTATTTTAACTGCACAATGCGCTCACAACACACGACTTTAATAATAATTAAAAAATAAAGCAAAACCGTCTCCGCCAGTCTAGAGTTCGATAATCAGTGATTTGTTGCTGTTGCTATTGTTTTTGTTCATTGATCTCTCTCTCTCTCTCAAGAGGAGAACCGATTGTTTATGCTCCGTCAAACAACGGCATAGAGTTTGTGGCCGCTTGACAATTGTGGGTGGCGGCGTCGTTGTCACAAGTGGCAAAGGTGTGTTTTGCATAACGGCGTCAAAAAACAAATGTTTGCAATTTAACCCTTTCGTTGCTAATAATTTTAAGTTTTTCTTTGAAATATTTTGATATTTCCTTTATTAAATACTTGTTTATATAATTTTCGTTTATATTAAATGTGTTTTATAATAAATCATTAGTAAAATTATACATTTCTTTGTATATATGTCACAAAAATTAACATTTTCATCCGATTAAAGAATTGAAATGTATTAAAAGAGCATTAAAAGTTCGCCCAGGGTGAACTTCTTATACCCTCCATCATAAGGTGGGCATCCTTAATATATGACATCGGTCGGGATCCATATATATATATATATATAAACATAAGTTACTAGTATCATGCGATAGAGTAACCAAGTTGATCCAAAATTGGCACAACTTTTTTCAAGATAATATAATGTTTGAACATTTGAAACATAGCCACAAAATTAATGAAAATTGGAAAATCCCATATGGGATTTATTGAGAATTCAAAAATTTTCAGGCCACCCTTAAACTTTTCCCAATAAATTGATGATTATTTAAAGCATTGTCCAACAAAGGGAAAGAGGTCCTGGATCTTTCCGTATTTTTGTACTACACGACGACAATGGCAGCTGTGAAATATTAATAACAATTGCCTCCACCTATGCAAAAATAAATGATACATGTCAAAATATTTTACAGCATATTCCGATTGGGAATTGTGTTTACAACAATGTCACAATATTTCACTTACATTCAGATATTATTGAATGAAACAAACAAATAAATAATAAATGTATACATTGTTGTTTTTTATGAAAGAAAAATAACAATGCAACATTTCGTAAAAATTCAACATCATCAAAAGAGGATACATTTTTTATTAAAAAAACACTACTTATTTTTTTACCATAAATATTGTTAACAGTTATTATTTTTTTATTTTTTAGTTTAAATTTAAATAACTTTACTCACTTTGAAAATGTTTTACTATTTTATACTTTTTTTAGATCGGAAAGCTTTGCCAATATTTGTGTTCATACTAAAGTTCGAAAGACACTCAAATCTCTGGGGAATAGGAACAAAGGGGGAACTGTGTGCTGTTTATATACAGTTTATAAAGGAAATATTCTACTATTTTTTTTCATGTGTTTTTTTGCATTCTAGCATATCTTTGTTGTAGATCAATCAAGAATCGGTCAAGAACCTTATAAAAAAAATAAATTTTAAAAAATTATGAAATCACAAGTAAAAATGTAGAACAACGACCAGGAAAATAATACTAAAACCAGTGAGCGGAGCAGTATAGACGGAAGGGATCGACCATACAATACCCTACACAACTACCACAGAACTCTATCTTTCTGCGGATTTTTATTCCGATCCTGGGTAATATTTCGTCATAGTTGCACCCTCTTGCCCGATTAAAGGTCAACAGTACCTTTTCCTTACACTGACATATTTTCCGAATATTACCAGTATTCCACACAGCCCTTCTAATTACTTGTCCATAATTCCTTCACCGCCGGTTGTGTTCTGATGTTCGGCTTATAATTGTAGCCTATATATGGAATCGCTATATTTCCGCCCTCCAGTGTGGCAATGGACTACTAAATAATATCTGAATACGTAAGCATCTGTATATATTTAACGTGTAACTCCCACATCCGAGTACATACCCCAATATTATTGGTATCAATTTAAAGGCCAAACACTCCTCTTGGATATACTATCATACGCTATAGAATACACATTTTGTCTTTTTTTCCATTTGACCCGCCAAATATTGACCGATCTTTATCAAACAGGGATATGGAGAAGGGTTCCATATAAAAATTCGCGATGTTTGGGCCATAATTGCGGCCTCTGGAGCGACCAGAAAATCAGACAAAAATAAAGTTTTTGGTCCATTTCTTCCCCTAAGATGAAGATTGGTCCATATCTGTGGCCTGTATCGTGTTTACAAATTATAATGGACAGACGTTCGGACACACATGTCTAGATCAACTCTGCTAGTCGAGATATGACCGGTATACTAAAAGGTAGGTCCTAGGACCAATATTTCGCGGCGTTACAAACTCTTGGGGCTGCACAAAGCTATAATACCCTGACAACATAGTTGTGTAGGGTATAATTAGGGTGGACGTCTTATTAAAACTTCCAATTTTTTTTTTTTTAATTCCAAAAACAATTTTTTTAATTAATAATTTTTTTTTAATTCCATGCCTTTTGAAAAAATCATGCATTTTGAATTCTTAAAAAACAGTTTTGAAAAAATCAACCCCTTTTTAGGTCTCGAAAAATATTTTTTTGAAAAATCCACGCCTTGTGAATTATAAAAAATATATATATTTTTAAAAATTCACGCCTTATGAAATATTTTTAGATTTTTTCTCTTTTTTAAATTAATTTTTTACTCTATCCAGCTTTTTAATTAATTCCCGATCAAAGAAAAAACCTCTCGGAATATTCCATAAATATTTATTTATCCGTTTTGTCAAAATAACATAAATTGTAGATATTAAAAATAAAATAGTAGAAGCATACATACATATATACATTATGTATTTTACTTCTAAATAAATACATATAGTGAACAATATATAAAAGAATAGTTCAATAATAATGCAAAAAAAAAAACTACAACTAGAGATATCAATTATAAAAGCATTGTTGGAAAACAAAACTGATAAAAAATATTTGTAAAAAAAATTTGAAATTATTTTTCCTTATTTAAAATCATTTGGCCATCTTTCATTTTAATGCGACCTTCTTTGACCAATTGTTCAGCCTGGGCTTTGGTAACACGCATACGTTGAATACGAACATTTGTAACGCCTGTTGGCGGAGAAGATGCCGACGATGATGTCGATGGTGAAACATTTAATGAGTTATTGGCGGATCGCGGAGATTTTGCGCTTGTGTTTGGTGATCGATTTTTATCATCAACCGTCGTTGAAGTTTTCTTTACAGTTATACCTTTGGGCATTTTCATTAGCGAATCTGCAATTGAGGGTTGATTCTTTTCTCTTGTCTGTGGTGCTGTTGTGGGCAGTTTACGTCGCAATTGAGATTGTGGTGACGTAGTATTTGGACTCACTACTTGAGCTATAATTTTATTATTGTTCATTTGGACTTTTCTTTGTTTCAGAGGAATTAAAAGACTGTTGTCTTCATTTTTGTTACCAGCTGCTGCTGCTGTTGGCTTTTTAGTGGCAGCACTTTTAATAATAACTTGTTGTAAAATTGCGGGAGCGTCTTTTTCTGTAAGGAAAGAGAAATATATCATTTATATATTTGAAATCAAATCCATATAATTTTTGTATGATTATCTCACCTTTCTTAATAACAACTTGTTCGTGATTATTTTCCCTCGACTCTGTGGCATCGTCAAACAGTATTTCATTAACCGTCTCTTGTAGAGGATCCTCTGTACCATCCGCCGTCGTTGTGTTTGGATTTGCCCCATCTTTCATTCGATCTGCCTGCATACGATCATCTTCATGATATGCTTCCATTTCTTGGGTATGCTCCGTATCAATATGTTTTTGTAATTTCTCAGCAACGGTAAAGATTAAATCGCAAAATTCACAGGCATACGCTTCGCCGACAGAATGTTCACTTATGTGTGCGGTTAGATCTTCCATATTTGCAAACACCTCTTTGCAGAGGGAACACGACAGGTTATTGGCATCAGCATGGCTGGCCGAGTGGTTTATAAGTTCATCGCGGGTTTGGAAACTTTCCGGACAGCGACTGCATATAAACGATGGTGTATTGGACTTATCGACATGCTCCTTGTGTGAACGCATATGACGTGTCAAATGATGTGACAGCAGATATGATTTGTTGCAATATTTGCAAGGATATGGCCGCTGGCCGGCATGGGCAGTTAGATGACGGGCCAATTTACTGGGTGTTGAAAAACTTTGGTTACAATATTGACATGGATAGGGTTGTTGGCGTGAATGGACAACTTCGTGGCGTTCTAGACCCTGCTTAAATGCAAAGCCCTTGTTGCACAATTTACATTGGAATGGTCGATTTATTTTATGACGTTCAGCATGTTTTTCCATGTCCTCCTTCGAAATGAAGGGTCGTTCACAGGTCACACATATAAATTTGGGTATTTCGGTGTGGGTTTTCTCGTGTCTCTGCAGTAGGGTTGAACGTGAAAAGGCCTGTAAATAAAAAAACATTTTAATATTTTTTAATAACGATTAAAAAAATGTTTTTTAAGACGATTTCAAATTGGGTTATAAAAATCTTACCTTATCACAAGCTGAACACTTGAATGGTTTTTCACCATTATGCGTAAAGACATGCCTCTGCAAGTCGTATTTGGAGAAGAAACTTTTGTCGCACTCCTCACAATCGAATTTCCTATCCCGAGTATGATTTTTCATATGCAGATCCCTTAGCTGCAGCAGTGGGAATGAACGATCGCAATGTGGACACGGATAGACTTGTGTGTCAATAACTTCAGCATTTTTGGGATCTGATTCATCTTCATAGGGTTGATCGGCATCTAGAATTTCCGCAACAATCTCCATATTACCATCCGAATCATGTTTAATTTTTGGCAAACTCAAACGTGGTTCATTATCACGTCCCGCCTCCTTGTTCAAAATACGTACCGAAGATTTATTCAATAATTTTGGTTTGGACTTTAGTCCAGCATCCAAATAAACTATCGGCATATCGGTGCTATTAAAATCTGTGGTACTAAAATCTGGCGTAATAAGTTCTTCTACACTTTGATTGGCTTCTTCTTCGGCCATCAATTGTTGTATATCATCGAAGGATATTTCGTCTGTGTTTTCCAGTTTAGCCAATAGACTTATTGTGGTATCTTCATCATCGACGTCGATCTTTTCGATTTTAGTACGTATTGGTGGTGTTTGGGGTTTTGCCGGAACCGTTGCCGGTGTGGCATTTAGAATTTTCTTTATTTGTGCCGGAGATTCCTGACCGGTTGATGATTGCCTGTTACCACCTCCACCACCCTGCTGCGGCTGCATACGTATCTGTGTTGTTTTGGTACATTGTTTATTGTTGAGGACATTCTGTTGCATCGGTCGAATAAGCACTGGTAAATTTAATGGTTTTGGCCATTGTCCCGTTAATGGAAACTGACGCAGTAAATTATCAGCTTGCTTACAAACTTGTTTGAATTGATAGGCAAATTCAAAGATGGCTGTACAATCGGAACATACATATCCCGGCATACCATCATTGCTGAATACCTGAAAATATACAGAGAAATATGGAAATTAGTAGAAAATATTTTTGGAAATTTGGGCAAGAATGATAAAATTCAGATTTTTATTTATATTGAGAATGAAAATAAGAAGCCATCATGTCAAAACAAGGTATGCTCTTCAGTGCTTCGAACTCAAGGCATTATTTATAAACACATTTTTTTGCAAAAAAATACACTTCGACCTCAACATCCCGGATTCCATAGCATTTACCCAACATCAATATTGGGTTTTGGTAGAGAGTTTCGGCTACAACTACAGTTGCTACCAAAGTTATGCACCACACACAAGTGGCGGGAATGTGGAGCTGCTAAACTATAACCATGACGCTTGTAAACACACAAAAACACTTTCACACTATCAGCTGCTGGTGGTCCGCGAAAAATGGTATTTGAATCTTGTAATTTGGACAAAAAAAAGAACTTACCTCAATTGAAGCTATGGCCATTATTTGTATGGGCAGCGGTGCTGATGTCTTAATTCGTGTATCACGCATATAAATATTACTCAGCTTGGGTATAGTTTCACACAAACAAAAACGACATATCTTTCGCTTTTTCAGCTCCTGCTGCAGTGTTTCTTGATCCAGTTGTTTTGCCATTTTTTAATGCACTCCTTTTTACCACCGGCACAACAATATTCTTGGAAATTAATAATTATTTTTCTTCAAAAATATCTATGCAAAAAATGCCGTAGTTTTAGGGTAAAAATTGGGTCTTGTCTTGTCTGTGACAGTAGTTAAGAAACCAAGCCACAATGAAATTAAGAATTGTCATTTTCTGTCTATTGGGGGCGCTGTAGAATGTCAATAGACCATTCACAATAGAGTTAGTCGTTTATGAATGGCATAAAGGCTCATTTAACTGGTCGACCAGTAAATAAGCAAATTACAACAATTTACCTCATCGAAATATTGATTTTCTTTGGACCCTCTTCATCTGTCTGTATCAGCCAGACACGAACAATTTCGGAGGAAGTAATCGATTTCATTTAAACCTTTCAAATCGCAAAAGTTCTTCCAAATTTAAATCAAGTTCAATGATGAGGATTATCGGCCCATTCTTTCTTCTACCTTAACCGCAAAGTGGTCAGAATTTACTTGGAAATTTATTTTATAATATCGTGATCTTTGCACAACCTAATATTTTAACCCAGCCTTTATGATGTTGGAAAACGGGACTTATATTTTGAAAACTTGTAAATATCAAAGTGAAGCGAACGGATTACCCTATTTCACGTTGCACATTACAATATTTTTATCATGTCTATATCACGTTAGAAAATTGGATCCTTCCATTGCCCTGTCAAGTCTATTTAACTTATTCCAAAAGATCTGGCTGCAGCCAGTGGAAGTAGATACATTTCTTAATTTGGAGACAAGTCCAGAACTGCTACAATAACCACTGCCCTGGCAGTGGGTTTCAATTGTCAACTCCTTTGCATATATGTCAAATAAATCCTCATAAAGTAGGTTAACCCGGTAAAAAGTTCTAATGTATATGGTGTTTAAGCCATTCAAAAATACAGGATAAAAATACCATCGGATAAAAACCGCCACAAATAGCAGCAAATTATATCGGAGAGACAAACTATATTGAGTAAGACCTGCCCCACGCTACACACCTTTGATTGTCCAGTCAAACCCACTAACGTAACCCCATCTTCCTATGTACTCAACCTATACCATTGCCTATAAATAAGGTCATCCATGCATATCTGCGCCATTTAAGTTTGCTGTCAAAATACATTATTTCGAATTGACTTCTATTATGAAAACGTAAACAAAGTCGAAATTTTTGACATTAGACTTGAGAACAAAACAGCTGTTTTCCGATTTTGATTGCTACATGGGTGACCTTATTAATAGATCTTGACCTATACAGTTCGCCTATTAATAAGGTCATCCAGGAAAAATAGTTAATTTTCAAGTTTGCTGTCAAAATCCTTTATTGTGAACTGACTTCCATTGTGAAAACGTAAACAACGTCCAAATTTTTGACATTTGACTTGACACTGCAATAAAATTTCCCACAACATCAACACCTACTTCAATAAACAATTCACAATAGATACGGAACTCAATCGCTGTATGTTGTTAACAGAGGGCGCTCGGTGCACTTCGTGCCAGAGTACATAGTTTATGTTCAACGGCGTAACTTTAGCGTTGTAGATACGTGTATGACGGCTATAGCAGTGTTCCAGCAAAAATATACCCGTTTGAAGTTCTTTTAACCTTTTTTAATAAAAACTAACAACATTTTAAGTAAAATTTCAGAGTGAAAACTGATCTCGAACTCAAATATTTAAAAAACTTTTCAAATATATATGAAAAAAATTGTTCTGAAATAGAGCAAATAATAAATGTATTGTATGTATTGACTCAAAAATTTGATTGAATAAAAATAGTTAAACGATTGTCTGTATATTTTTTTATCTTCAGCCTAAAGGAGGAAGCATATTAAGTTAACTTTGTTTTATTTAAAAGAACAAAGAAGAACGGCATCCAAAATCAAATTTGACTCTGATATTCCTTTAAAATGTTTATGATTTTTATTAAAATATTCATTGTGGGACTTCCCCCATGTCCCTTATGTTGTGAATTCAATTCTCAATTTGATTATAAGCTATCAGCTGATCACGCTGGCTGACCTTATTAATTGGCCTTGCCATTGTCGATACAAGCAAAAGTCGATCAGGCTATCCCTATTGGACACGTTTGTTGTGACTTATTACGAAGAAAAAAAACCTCGGAAAAAGTTGATAAATCGCTGAAAAATCTACAATTTACCAAATTTTCAGTTCGCATTCAACAGAAATCAGAATATCTATTAAAATGAGCGGTGACAATAACAAGAAATCATCAAAAAAATCCAATCAAAATGGAAAAACTAATGCTGTTGCTGCTTCCAATGGGTCCACCAATTCCAATGCCACCACGAACACCACCACTGTCGATGATAATGCCTGTGTGGTTTGTTTTAAGACGGTGGAAATATTTTCAATAGGAGAATGTGACCATCCCGTTTGTTATGAGTGTTCGACTCGGATGAGGGTGCTGTGTGAGCAGAATGAGTGTCCCATTTGTAGGCAGGTATTATCAAAGGTAAGTATCGATTTAGCTAATGACAAGGAATTCCAATTAGAAAAAATTACAAGGTTTTTTTTGCAAATAATTGAAATTTCAAAAACATTTACATTTTACATTTTTTCTAGGTTATATTTACCTATGATAAACTGCCTTACCGTGAATTAGAGGCCAAAAATCGTTCCGAATACTATAGTAAGAAATATAAGATATGTTTCTATACTAGTGACATACAGAATCGATTCTTTGAGCTATTGGATCATCCATGTCCCAAGTAAGTACTATGGCGACTTTTGTCCATTTGAATTTGCCCATTACATTGACTCTGTTGTTCTTTGTCTCTTTTGTGTGTTTGTAGATGTGATTGCCCACCGTATCGTACCTTTCAAGGCCTTCGCAATCACGTTCGCAAAGAACATGACCATTTCTATTGTGATTTGTGCGTGGAAAATTTGAAAATATTCACGTTTGAACGTCGTTGTTATACCCAGGCTGAATTGGGTATCCATCGGACCAAAGGCGACCCAGACAATCGTTCACATCGTGGCCATCCATTGTGTGAATACTGTAACAAACGCTACTTGGATCGTGATGAGCTGTTCCGCCATTTGCGACGAGAACATTACTACTGCCACTTTTGTGATGCAGATGGTTGTAATGAATTCTATCGAGATTATTCCGCATTGGCGGAACATTTTCGTCAGGATCACTTTTTGTGTGAAGAGGGAAAATGTGCCACGGAAGAATTTACGGGAGCATTTCGTACCGAAATAGATTTTAAGGCTCACGTTGCAAATGTCCATGGCAAAGGTATGAACAAGCAGCAGGCGAAACAAACGCGAACACTACAACTGGAGATAACATTGGGACCAAGAGGGAGATCGGGACAAACGGAGCAGGGTGTGGCCAATATGAGAAGTCGAGGAAGGTATGGCTAACATTAATTGAATGAGGATTTATGTATGCATGATTTCGAATGTTTTTTCTCCTTAGCAACAACCATGAACCGGAGCCTGAAATTCCGGAGCCCTCCTATCCCCAGCAAAGTCAAACCCCAACACGTCAAAATATTAATCCATGCAGTGAGCAGGAGTTCCCATCACTTTCCGGTGGTTCAACTGGACCAAGTTTGTCTCTTACACGACCACCGCCACCAACAATTATCAATCATAATAGAATATCGGGTTTGGCTCGAACAAAGGAGAACTTCCCCGCCTTAGGTGGCAGTTCAACCAGTGGTGCCAGCAATAGCGGTGATGGTGGTGGCTTCGGTGGTGCAGCTAGATCTGCCCAGCATCATCAACCGCAACCTATTTCAGCAATGTTGAAAAAGAAACCCACACCTGCCACGGGAGCTGTACCAAGAACACCTGCGCCTAAAGCTGGACCATCGACCAGCAGTGGTATGGTCATACATGTCTCAAATCGTCCAACAAATCCGCCGCCGCAAACCAAAAAACCAAGTGCAATGGATTTTCCAGCTCTGCCCACAGCCAGCAAATCTAAAAAGGGTAAAGCTGCTGTATTGACCGAAGATATGGGTACCTCTGGCCTACAATTACCCGTATCCACGGTGGCAGCCAAACATCGTACCCTTGTGGATGATTATGTGTCCGTTGCTAATCCTGCAAATTTCCAAAAAATCCAAATGGTACAAAAAGAAGAACTTGAGGCCAAGGCCAGAAGGGAAGCTGAGGCACGTAGTGCACCAAAATTAACATCTCAAGATTTCCCCTCATTGGGAGGCCCCTCAACGGCCAAGTCATCTGCTGCAAATACATGGGTAAAACCGGTTGTTAATGAAAAGCGTCAAAAGGAGCTGGAGAATCGTAAAAATAAAGTGGCACCTGCCCCTCTCCTACCGGCAAAATCAAACAATTATGCCACCGCACCAACTACTAAGCCTGCAGCGGCAGTATTAACTAACGGTAATGTTCAATCAAATGCAGCCAACATTGCTGCCAATAATAAAAAGGATAAAAAGGAAAAATCTAAAGAGAAGAAGACAAAGGAGCCGAGCAATAACAACAACAACAACGAAAATAAAGCGACGAACAATAATTTAAATAGCAGCAACAATAACAATCAAAAACAATCTTCCTCCCCACCACCAGCGGCAGCAGCGGCACCGTCTAAATCACCACAAGCCAAGAAATCATCATCATCGCCCTCATCAAAGGAACATCATTCGAATGTCACGGTTAATTCGGTGGCAAAGTCACCAAACAATTTAACATTTACCAGTTCTTTGGGTGAGAGTTATAGCATTTTGCCGGCTCACACTTTTACCCCGCCCACTGATGCTATGCTGCGCAATCAGGTAAGGAGTGACAATCAGTTAATGACTTTTTTCAAAGATTAGAAAAAAGTGTGGATTCTTTAAAATTATTTTTAAGGCGTGGATTTTTTAAACAGATGTTTTCTCAACGTGGATTTTCCAAAAAGATATTTTCTAACCGTGGATTTTTTAAGAACAATTTTTAAGATGTGAATTAAAAAAATATTTAAGGCGTGGATTTTTTAAAAATATTTTTTTTAGGCATGGATTTTTAAAAATATTTTTTTCAAGTTGTGGATTTTTTAAAAATGTTTTTTTCAAGGCTTGGGTGTTTAAAAATATTTTTTTCCAGGCATGGATTTTTAAAAATATTTTTCAAGGCGTGAATTTTTTAAAAATATTTTTTTCAAGGCTTTGGTGTTTAAAAATATTTTGTTCCAAATGTTTTTCAGGGACTATCAACAGACGTGGATTTTTTTAAAAATATTTTTTCAGACATGGATTTTTTAAAAAAAAAAATTTTTTTTAAAAATACACACGCGTGGATTTTTTTAAAAAATATTTTTTCAAGGATTTTTTAAAAATATTTTTTCAAGACTTGAAGGCGTGGATTTTTTAAAAATATTTTTTCAAGACTTGGATTTTTTAAAAATATTTTTTCAAGGCGTGGATTTTTTAAAAATATTTTTTTCAAGGTGTGGATTTTTAAAAAATAATTTTTTAAAGGTGTGGATTTTTAAAAAATTTTTATCTTTTTAACCCTTTTTTTGTTCTATTTTTTATTTTCTTTACAGAGATTAATTTTATACTTTAGAGATATTTTAGAATCCATGGAAGCCTTAGAAGAATTCCGTAATATTTCACAACTATATCGCGATGGTGTGGTCAAGGCGGATTCCTATTATGAACATTGCCAAGCTGCCTTAAAGGATAAATTTGATTATGTTTTTCCCGAGCTGGTAGTACTACTACCCGACATTAGCAAACAACAGGTATGAAGAAGATCGCTTTCAATACAAAACTTGAAATTTAAATAATTTCCTAATTTTAGGGTTTGTATTTGGTGCACCAACAACGTTTAAACACAATGTCTGCGGCTAAACGTAAAAATCTTCCCACCATGGAGGTTTGTTCGACATGTAAACAGGTTTTGCTGCCAGTCGATATGGCCGATCACAAGAAAATGCATGAAATTGTGCAAAACTTTCCCGAACTTAGTGGAAATCGCAAATCCCTTACAAAGGCTTAAACATGAACATCAACATTAACAGCAACAACAACAATAGCCTTTCGCATTTTCACAGATATTGACATGACAATGCACAGTGTTTATACTCTGGCGAAAGTAATGAAACAAAACTAAAATATACAAAAAAGAAACAAGAAACAAATCGCTTTAAATCGCATATGACTTTTTCCGATTCACCAGTTTTATTTTAGTTAGCTGTTGTTTTTTTTTTAATTTTTTGATTTTAATATACATACATTTTAGTAGTTAAGAAAACCAACAAAACTATTTTTTCAGTAGTCTTGAGCCAATGAATATTGATTTTTTCCAGATTTTAAGTGTTTTTTTATTTCAATTTTGACTAAACTTTTTTTTATAAAAATACGTTTTCGCAAAAATGTGTATAAATAGCCTAGCCATATGATATCGTCGTTGTTCCCCCTTTTCACTTGTTTCCTCTTTTTGCGAACAAAGCTTTATGAGTTTTATACTTTTGTTTTTGTCTCAAAGTCATCTTTTACTTTGTTTAAAACAAATGTAAACCATTTTGAATGGATTTAAATTTTAATTCGTTTTTTAATTACTACCGATCATATTTCTATTACACAATATCCGCCCCTTGCTTTATTGTATACCTTAGATATTATTTGTTTTTAGTTCAATTTCGATGATTTATTTGAAATAGAAAACAAACTGCAACAACAATACAAGGAAGTCGAACAACAACAAATCCTAAAGAAAAAAAATACATTTAAAAACATATATAAATATTGCAACAAATGGTGATTTCATTTTGTTTAGAACAAAACTAAAAAAACAAACAGTTTATGCATAATATTGTTTACAATAACAATAACAACAACTACAATAAACCATCAACAAAATACATATATATATAATTTATATAAGAGAGAGAGTGTTCGTTTTTTTATATTACAATATATATACAATTATATGAAAATATGTACGTAAAACTAACTGAAATGTTATTTTGAGATAATAATAATACAAAAAGAAAAATAAAGATAATAACAGAATAATAAAAACAATACACTCCAAAAAAATAAAAGTATGTAATTGTCTTTTTAATGTCTTATAGGGATGAGAATTTGTTTTTAAATATTTTTTCGAGGTCCTTTTTTTTAAGGTTATATAGTCAATAAAAGTTATTAGCCATGTTGGCTTATTATACCCTACACAACTATGTTGTCAGGGTATTATAGCTTTGTGCGGTCCCAAAAGTTTGTAACGCCGCGAAATATTGGTCCTAGACCCACAATTAAGTATACCGATCTATCTATCATATGTCGACTAGCTGTATGTCCGTCCGTCCATAATAATTTGTAAAAGCGATACAGGCCACAATTACGGACCAATCTTCACGAAATTTTGCATGTAGAATGGGTTCTGGCCAACGAAGACCCTTATTGTTTTTGGTAAAGATCGGTTAATATTTAGGGGATAAAATGGGCCAAAAACTTTTTTTCTGATTTTCTAGTCGCTCCAGAGGGCGCAATTATGACCCAAACTTCGAGAATTTTTACATGGAGAAGGGAATCGGGCCAATAAGGTTCCAGTTATGGTCAAGGACAATACCTATAATATTCGGTGATGATCAGATAATAATTTTGGGATGAAGTGGAGCAAAAACTTATTTTTTTGTGTTTTTTTGGAGTCGATATATAGACTACATTTGAAAGCAGAACATCACAACACAACCCACGGTACAGGGAAGGGACAAGTATTTAGAAGAGCTGTACTGAATATTATTAATATTTGTTGACCTCTAGTTATTCAAAAGGGTGCAAGTATCGCGAAATATTGCCCAAGCTCAGAATGTAGTACCACAGAAAGTTAGATTTTCGTGGAAGTTGTGTAGGGTATCATATGGTCGGCCCCCCGACTTATAGCCATATAGCTTGAAAAATTAAGCTCCCATGGCGACCAGCGCAAAAGCGGGATCTTTATATGGAGGTTATACCAAAAAATGGGGGGTAAATTGAACATATTTTGTTTATCCATCTAGAATACGTTCACATGGTCAAGAGAATTCCTAAAGCCTTTTTATAGAGGGACTACATTAAAAATTTGATTTAAAAATTGGAAATTATTGGCAAATATGTTTTGTAACATTCCGAGTATTCAGGAAGTAAAATTACAGCCACCTCGTTTGGAAAATGCTCCCATGAACCTACAGTGAACATTTTTTTGAAAATGTTTTTCATTCTCCATGAATCTTTAATGAAAAATTCCAATCTGAGATATCGTCCATATAGACATCCTATATCATATTTTCTATAAAAAGCTAGTCTATAAACATTCAGATCCCAATGTTTATAAACTTTCATTGTTCTATCAAGACTCCCTTCAGCTGTCTATAAAGACTCCACTCAACTTGTCTGTAAAGACTTCATTTAGTTCTTCCCTTCAGCTCGACTATAAATCAATCGGCCCTTCAATTCGTCTACAAAGACTTCCGTCAATAAAATTCAGTTGGTCTATAAAGACTCCTTTCAGTATATATGGACCGCTTCATTCCTTTCAATACATAAAATATCTAAAGCAATTGGTCAGCTCCAAAAGGACTTTCTGCTGTAAAATAAATTAAACGTTTCGGTGTGGTATTCTTAAATGTATTTAATAAAAAGTGGGGGTATTTTTTGAACTTTGGAACCCCATATCTCGGGAAGTACAGATTTCCCCCCGAAAAAAATTATGCTGCTGTAATCAGCATCAGAAGGGCTAAGGGCTAAGCCAAGGCATGATTTGTCAGGATTCTATTGATTTGTTTGATCTCGCTTGGCTTGGCTGTGGTTTTATGGAACCATAAATACTCGCATTTCTGGAACAACTCAACACCCGCCATTAGAAAATAAAAATTAAATGTATAATTGATACACCCTGTTATTTCGATAACAATTCTTATCGAAAGCTCTCATGTTGTTATGTGCTCTCAGGTGATTTCTACGCCGCAACACTTCGATTCCCCAATAAATCGATTTATTTGCCTTTTTTGCACCGTTTTTTTTCTGCATCATGTCGATGGCAGTTCGATTTGTATTCACAAAAATTCCGAGCCATAACGTGTTTGGCAGAAACTTGTTTTCGTCATCATCAGCTAAAGGAACTCGACGTTTCCACGCCACGACCGCTGCGGCACAACAACATTTGCAAACGTTAGCTACAGATAAACGCAAGAAAATGTCCAACTATCAAATTGTCGAGAAGGGTGCTCCCAATTCAACAAATTACAGCATTTATTTCAGTAAGTATAGAATACCAAATAAATTTTGAGAATATAGAAGAAAAAATCGACCGGCTTTTTCTGTGTGAGCTGCATACATTTATTAATTCCGATGTGTCCAATTGAAATGACATTGACCGTAACCCATTCATCCCGACGATGTTTAATTATTATTGAAAATGTGAAGTGGTTGTATTCTGACTGCTGTTATCTGTTCGGTGTTCGGCATTAATTGTCCTAAGCCTCTGTAAGCTTATGCAATATTTTTTATAAACGGTGAAATTGATAAGAAACCCCCATCAGCACCGTAAATTGCCTTTTGTGGTGTGTCCGATTGTTTGTACGTCTGTCACACCGTCAAAGTCCGTTGTGATTTGTTGTTATTGTTTTTTACATGCATTTGCGTGTGCGGAAGGTATTTGAAGAGGAGGTATTCCCCCGAAAAAGATTAGAAATGTAACAATTATTGTTTTTTTTTTTTTTTTATGTGAAATGTTTGCAGTTCTGCTGATTATGCATTTTACATGCGCACCTGAGTTCCGCTTTCCGGAAATTATTCTAAGAACATTTGACATACAAGTGAAATGCTTGTTTGAGGCACAGTGTTTTGAGGTGTTTAAAAAATTTGCAGATAAAATAAAATAAAAAAAATTAACTTGAACTGGCGACTTAGACGATCTGATGACAGGCATTCTATATAGAACTTTGGTAGTGTTGAAGGGAGTCTTTTATAGACGTGGTGAAGGGAGTCTTTTATAGACGAGGTGAAGGGAGTCTTATAGACGAGCTGAAGGGAGTCTTTTTATAGACGAGCTGAAGGGAGTCTTTTATAGACGAGCTGAAGGGAGTCTTTTATAGACGAGCTGAAGGGAGTCTTTTATAGACGAGCTGAAGGGAGTCTTTTATAGACGAGCTGAAGGGAGTCTTTTATAGACGAGCTGAAGGGAGTCTTTTATAGACGAGCTTTTTAGAGGAGCTGAAGGCGGTTTTCATAGATCAGACAAAAGCATTCCTTAGGTCCCCAAGAACTACAACTTCCTATCAAAAAAAAATAAATAAATAAATAAAAATCCTACTACTTTTTTTCTATAGAAAAGAATTTCTCAGGTCCCTGAGGACTACTTTTTCTATAGAAAAAGATTCCTCAGGTCCCTGAGGACTACTTTTTTCTTTAGAAAAAAATTCTTCAGGTCCCTGAGGAATACCTTTTTCTATAGAAAAAAAATCCTCAGGTCCCTAAGGACTACTTTTTCGATAAAAAAAAAAAAAATCCTCAGGTCCCTGAGGACTACTTTTTTTCTATCGAAAAAAATCCTCAGGTCCCTAAGTACTACTTTTTTCTATAGAAAAAATTCTCAGGTCCCTGAGGATTACTTTTTTTCCATATGCATTTTATGCAGAAATTTAAAAAAAAATCTTGAAAGTCTTCGATTTTGATGAAAATTTTAAATAAAATACTAATCTGCTTATTCATCTCCTCTCTTCCATTTTTATCTTATATAAACGTGACTTTTTAAATAAATACGAACAACAAAACTTTCCGTGCCCAATACACAGACCCATAATCATAATTTCAATATGATGATTTAGCTATTTTTATATTTATATTCATTTTGTTTTATTATCTCCCTCTCTCTCTTATTGTTTTTTATCTTTTGTCTGATCACTTGAAATAATCCCGCAACCCTTTTTCTAAAGATAGAATTATTTGTTAAGGTCCAAAGACTATCACTTTTTGTGATAATAAAGAAGCGGTAATTTCCACTTTTGATTTAAATCTCAAAATTTTGAAAAATCAAATAATTTAGCTGGTAAAGCTATTGCTATATGGAAAAAATAATACTTTAGTTTTTTTTTTAATTTTATATATTTCATACCACAGTGCTGCGGGTTTCTTTGTACTGTTGTGTATTGGTCATCACTGTTATCAGCGATTAGCTGGTGAATATAAACCCTACCTATTTCAATTAGAATTTTTGTATTTCGTAATAAGCAAAAATTCGAATTAATTTATTGGTCAAATGCAAAGTACAGTGGTAAAATGATATTTTATCTAGCTTCAATATAATTGGTAAGATAAAATATTTTTTTATCATTTATTTAATTTGAAAAATTTATAAAGCAGAAAAAGAGTGGGTATGAAGAGAAAGGAAGTAAATTGTTGAATATTTTTGTATTTTTGAGAAAAGAAGCAAGGGGAATTAGTAATAGCTATTAAAATGTCCCCATATTTGTGTAAGTCCATCCTAATGTATTTACACACAAACAAATTTATTCAACGTGTTTTTGACACACAGACACAAATTGGTTTTTTGAATTGCTTGTCCATCCATTGTTACTCGGTCGTTTTTTTATTAATGATTAATTGAAATTATAATTGATGTCTGCTCCAATTCTTGTATTTGTATTTGTTTTGTGTTTTCTTTAATTGATTTTCCTTTGCAGAAACTGCTTGCGGTAAAGGTGTTTCTCCATTGCACGATATCCCCCTCTATGCCAATGAAGAGAAGACCGTGTACAATATGGTGGTTGAAGTACCACGTTGGACAAATGCTAAAATGGAGGTAAGCATGTCATGGTTTATAAAAGAAAAACAAAAGAAAAAATTGTCCTCATAGTTTTTTCTATAGAAAGAAGTGTCCTGAGGATTTTTTTCTATAGAAAAAATTGACCTCAAAGTCCTGAAGAATTTTTTCTATAAAAAAGTATCCTCTAGTCCCTGAGGATTTTTTTCTATAGAAAAAAGTGTCCCCAGAGTCCTGAGGAATTTTTTTCTATAGAAAAATGTGTCCCCAGAGCCCTGAGGAATTTTTTTCTATAGAAAAATTTTCCTCAGAGTCCTGAGGAATTTTTTTCTATAGAAAAATTTTCCTCAGAGTCCTGAGGAATTTTTTTCTATAGAAAAAAGTGTCCTCAGAGTCCTGAGGATTTTTTTTTCTATAGAAAAAGGTCTTCAGTGTCCTGAGGAATTTTTTTCTATAGAAAAAAGTGTCCTCAGTGTCCTGAGGAATTTTTTTCTATAGAAAAAAGTGTCCTCAGAGTCCTGAGGAATTTTTTTCTATAGAAAAAAGTGTCCTCAGAGTCCTGAGGAATTTTTTCTATAGAAAAAAGTGTCCTCAGAGTCCTGAGGAATTTTTTTCTATAGAAAAAAGTGTCCTCAGAGTCCTGAGGAATTTTTTTCTATAGAAAAAAGTGTCCTCAGAGTCCTGAGGAATTTTTTTCTATAGAAAAAAGTGTCCTCAGAGTCCTGAGGAATTTTTTTCTATAGAAAAAAGTGTCCTCAGGCTCCTGAGGAATTTTTTTCTATAGAAAAAAGTGTCCTCAGAGTCCTGAGGAATTTTTTTCTATAGAAAAAAGTGTCCTCAGAGTCCTGAGGATTTTTTTCTATAGAAAAAAGTGTCATCCGGTAACTGAGGAGTTTATTTCTGCTTTTGCAAATGTAAACAAAAAAATTATATTTAATGACCGTATCGATTGATTCCTCTTCGTCTTCTCTTGTTTTTAGATTAGCTTAAAGAATCCCTTGAACCCCATCAAACAAGATGTTAAAAAGGGTAAATTGCGTTTCGTTGCCAATTGCTTCCCCCACAAAGGCTACATCTGGAATTATGGTGCCTTCCCACAGACATGGGAAAATCCCGATCACATTGAACCCAGCACTGGCTGCAAGGGTGATAATGATCCCATTGATGTCTTGGAAATTGGTTATCGTGTTGCCAAACGTGGTGAAGTTGTTCAAGTTAAAATTTTGGGCACCATTGCTCTAATCGATGAGGGTGAAACTGATTGGAAAATTATTGCCATTGATGTTAAGGATCCATTGGCTGATAAGCTGAATGATATCGGTGATGTTGATAAACATTTCCCCGGTTTGTTGAGAGCCACCGTTGAATGGTTCAAAATCTACAAGATTCCCGATGGTAAACCCGAAAATCAATTTGCTTTCAATGGTGATGCCAAGAATGCCGCCTTCGCCACCAATGTTGTGGCCGAAACTCACAAATTCTGGCAGGGTTTGATTAGTCAACAATTGGAGGGTGGTTCTATTTCAAGGTACATTTAATTTTAATTGTTAAAATAAATGAAACAATATTTTATTAAATTTATTATTTTTTCATAGATTGAACACAACCGTCACCGATTCACCATTCCTTACAAATCCCGATGAGGCTGAAAAAATTATCTCTGAAGCACCCGAAGGTGGTGATGTTGAAGAGGTCACCGACATAGGTAAGATACATTTTCTTCACACAAATGTCTATGCTAAATTGTAGCTAGGTGTACGGGACTACCGCTATTAGTTTTGGAATGCTTATGCACATAACACCCTTACACAGAAACAAAACAACAACTAATACACAATAACAATGGTGATTTTTAGTAACTAAGTAAAATATTTTTTTTATAACCAATGTATATATTTCCCTTTTTTACAAATAAAATTTGTGGTGTGTGTAGTTACTTTTTAACATACATTTTTGGATCTAATTAAAAATTGACTATACTTTTCCCTTTTCTCCAATTTATTTTTCATTTCAGTCGATAAGTGGCATTTCATTCATCTTAAGTGAAACAAACAAGGCTCCGCAACATTGATATTTATGAAAAATGTTTGTATTAAATGGTATAAGAAACCTTGAATTTACTTACTTGCATATTGTAATGTAATACAAGTTCTTAGACACCCTAGTTTGTATCCTTATATTATTAATTAAAAAAAAGAATAACAAAATGAAGAAAAAATACACCACTGAAAAAGAAACTTTGCACTTGAATTTAAATTTGTTTTTCTTCGGGATTTTTTCAAGAATATTATTCAATACCTATAGGAGGAGTGGATTTTGTATAGAATATTTTTCACGGCCCACAAAGCGTGGATTTTGTAAAGAATATAAAGAATATATTTTCAAGGCCTACATAAAGAATATGTTTTCAAGGCCAACAAGGGGATTGGATTGTTTAAAGAATATATTTTCAAGGCCTACAAGGGGCTTGGTTTGTTTAAAGAATATTATTAAAAGGGCTATTAAATAAAAAAATCCTCAGGGGTGAGAGGATTTTTTCTTTAGAAAATAAATACCGTTTTTATGTTTTCCTCAGAGTACTGTTTTTATATTTTTCTATAGAAAAAACAGTTCTAAGCGTCTCTGAGGAATTGTTAGTAGAGAAAGAATAGGTCTCAGTTCACTGAGGATTTTTTCCGTAGAAAACTCACCTCAGCGTCACTAAAGTTTTTTTTTCCTATAGAAAAAAAGAGTCCTTAGAGTCACAGAGGAATTTGTTCTATAGAAAATATAGCACTCGGATTACTGAGAATTGTTTTCTTCTAATAGAGTACTCAGACATTTTTTATATAGATAATAGAGTCCTTAAAGTACTGAGGATTTTTTTCTATAGAAAAAAAGAGGCCTCAGCGAACTGAGAATTTTTTCTGTAGAGAAAAAAGAGTTCCCAGCTGACTGAGGAATTTTTTTCTATAGGAAAAAGTCTCCAGCTCACTGAGGAATATTTAAATATTAGTATTAGTTCTTTCGACAAACACTGTGTGTAATGCTAGTCGTTATTGTGAATGATATGCTACTATTGTAAATGAAAACTTTGGCTGACGAATCATTAACGATTGTGAATTACGACTTTGGGTGTAACAGCTGATTTTTGCAATTGTTTGTGTTTGACCGGCATACCATGGGCCAATGTAAATGAAACGAAGAGATTTTAAGAAAACAATTTACACAAAATTTTAAATAAAACCCTATAAAGTGTTATTACAAATAGTCCTTTTAATATTATAAAAGCACATCACCGAAAAAAATTCAATTATAAAAATTAAACTTGGGAAACCCCTAGTTCACATAATTTCATTTAATGAATATTGATATTGAACCATATACAACTCGAATGTCCACATAGGCCAGTTGATCTCAATTGTTGTCCCTAACAAGAAACGGAAGGCAGAATGTCCTCAAAGGAAACAAAAGCTTTGTTTAAAGAAATCCGAGAAGCTATAAAAACGGAAAAATACGAAGAGGCCATAAAGAAATGTGAGGTTGGTGTTTTGATTGGTTGTGGTTTTTGGTAGATCTTATTAATGACCATTTATTATTATTCCCGAAATTTAGGAAGTCTTGAAGCTAGAACCTAAAAGTTATATGGGCCATATATTGCTGGGAGCAGCCTATCAAAATAGTAATAAACAAGAAGCGGCCAAATATTTGCGTAAAGCCGTCGAATATTCGGCACCTCAGCCACCAACTGTTGCACTTCAGGTATGCAGGTCGACTGAAAAAAAATACAGTCGAAATTGTTTATAACGATAACGTTTTTAAGGACACGTAGTTTATTACCACGTTATACAAAAGTCCGGAAAAAAGCTTAACTCTGTACTTATAACGACTAGGGCTTTTAGTGATCAAACCTGTAGGTCCCTTGAATATCGTTATAAATGATATCGATTGTAAATAATTGAATGTGGTGTTTTTGTTTTTATTGTTATTAATAATATATTTTGCTTAATAGGGCCTGGCAAATTGTGCCCCCAGTGAAGAGCTGCCACACATTTTTGAACAATTAATAAAATTGGTTCCGTAAGTACTACTTTTTGATAATTTTGTAAATAAATTTCTAATTTTTGCATATTTATCTTTTAGAGAAAAACAATTGGATTATTTTGAGAAATTATATAATGTCTCCACGAATAGTTCCAAGGTGGCCACGGAGTGTTTTCATACATTTAAACGTCTATTAGCCATCACGGATTTAGAAACTCACAAGACTGTTTTATTAAAATATTATGGTAGACTTTTAATACAAAAGGACATCACAGTTGAGGAGGAGGATGAGGAGAATGTAAGTTTAACTGTTTTTAAGTGGAATATAAGAACTGGGCTAAGATCGGAACTTAAACAAATATAACGTCTAGAAATTTCATACTTCCTAGACAATGGACACGTGAGGACTTTTTATAGGACTTCTATGGGTCTTCAGCTCAATTCGAAATAAATATAATGTCTAGAAATTTCATACTTCCTAGACAATGGACACGTGAGGACTTTTTATAGGACTTCTATGGGTCTTCAGTTCAATTCGAGTCCAGCTCTTATATTCAATACAAGTCATATTTCTTTTGATTATTTGTTCCATTAATTCAATATCCTACTTTCAGTACAAATCAAGTTTGGAAGAATTATTAAAGGACAACGCATTGGATGTTTACCTGCCGGCCTATAAACGCTATTTAAAACTTTTATATAAACAACAAGATTTGGCAAAATGTTTGGAATATGCCTGCAAACTGGTGGATTTGTATCCACAAGATATTTATGCCTATGAATGGATATGCAAAATATATTGTGAAAATTATGATTGCACAGAGGAGAATAACAATTGTTTAGAAAGTTTACAACAAAATATCGAATACTATGCAACAAAACTGGGAGAATTAAATTCTGAATCCAGTTTGGCTTTGCTAATACAAGCCATTGAAAAATATAGTGCCGAACAATATGTTGCCGCCCGAGATATATTGTATAGGGTGTTAGTGATACAACCAAATTATTCAGTAGCAATGAAATTATTAGCTCGTTGTGAAATGCATTTAGAGGCGTTCGGTTTGGCCTATCCGTTATGGCAACAATTGAATGATAAAACCAATGTTGATTATGCCATATGTGTTTCGTATTCGTGTGTGGATTCAGAGATATTAAATGAAGCAGTTGATGTTCTAAAGGCACTGGAAGAGAAAGAGAAAACTGAAGATGCTGTTAGAGCATTGGCAAGGTAGGTGGATACATATATTCCTATTCAATTTATAATTGTTCCCTCTTTTCTAGATGTTATTTAAAATTGGGCGATGCACGTAATCTCAATCGTCTGCAAATGAGTGATGTTTCGAAGGCGGAATTTTTCTAGTAAGTATTTCACCAATCATACATTTGATTTGAGTATTTTTTTTTTGTATAGAAAAAAGTGTCCCCAGCGGGCCTGAGGTTTTTTTCAGGAAATTGGAATCCTCAGCTCAAGTAGGATTTTTTTCATAGAAAAAAATAGACCTCAACTCACAAAGTTTTTTTCTGTATAAAAAAGTCTCCACAGCGGACTGAGTAATTTGTTTCCATTGAAAAAAGAATATTTTCTATAGTAAAGTTATAATTTCAAAAAAATTCTATGATTTTTCCAGCTATGATACACCCTCCGAAGCCATTCAATTCTTAGGCTCAACATGGGAAGATTTGGAAACTTATAACGCATTAGTTTTACGCGCCCAATACTATTATGAATTACAGGACTATGATGTAGCCCTGACATGTGCCTTAAAAGCCACTCGCTTGAGGCCTTACAGTTCCGTGTGTTTTTATCATTTGGGTAAAATATATTTGGCCACCAATGATATGGTACGTTCACGTAAATGTTTTGAGAAATGTATTACCCTGAATCCCATCAATGAGGATGCTGTGGAAAATCTTTCGGCAATTTATCAGCAATTGGGTGAAGAGGTAAGTATCAAATCAAATTTGAAATAATAGCAGATTTATTGAATAATTATTATTTAATATTTAGGATCTCAATGTTGCCTTACTTTTGAATACCTTGAAGAAAGTCAAAACGCCATCGAAATTTAAACACATTCACTATAAACTGGGTCTACACTATTTGAATGTGAATAATTGTGATGAGGTAAGAAGAAAATTCCCTCAAGAGGTCATGAAGGAAAATAGGAGTCTTGTCTTCCTTTCCCCAAACCTCATTTTTCTTTATTTGGATTCCACATAAAAACATTCTATTTTTTCTTCTAGGCCATTCACTGCTTCCGCACGGCCATAAAACATGATGTCTCTTGTATGATATATTGGGAGTCCTTGGGTGATGCTTATGCAGCCAGAGGTTCATACAATTCAGCAATAAGAGTTTATCAGAAAATTTTGGAAATGCAGCCGGATAATGTATATGCCAAGCTACAAATGGCCATTATGAAAACAACAATACGCATGTATTCCGAGGCAATAGAAGATTTTGATAATTTACTAAAAGAACATGAAGACTATTTGCCGGCCCTAAAGGGAGCTGCTGAGGCGCATATTGGTTTGGCCAATTTTCTGAATCAGGAAAATCGTTATGGTCGGGCCAAGGATCATTTTCAAATGGCCATCAATATGTTGCAAAGGTACCATAAAAATAATCTAATTAAGGAACATATATCTAAACCGTTATTTTTTTCCATTTTAGATGTTTCCTAAACCCCGATAATTTAAATATGGTTTGGCTATGGCGTCTAACGGCCAATGTGTTTGTTTCAACCGCCCAAATGCCTGAGTCCTTGGCGAATTTAGATGTTAGCGGAAAACTGGCCAAGCGGGAGTCGGATATAGCTTTTTTGACACGCAAAGATTTGCTGAATTTGGCCTTGAGGTGGGGTATAATTTTTTGTTTCTAAAGAATAAAATCATTTTTTTGGTTTGTATTTTCAGATTCTATACCTGCGCCTTGAAAATCAAACAAAACACCTACCTTTGGTATGAGCTGGCTTTGTGTTCCTATTACTGTGCCAATATTTTATGTGAGGAATCCGAGTCACATTTGGAAATGGCCACCAAGGCCTGTCAAATGGCAATTAAAGAAGATCCAAACAGATGGCAGAACTGGAATTTATTGGGTGTTATTAATATGCATACATGTAAGTGGATAAGAATATTTTTCAAAGGCTCCTGTAGTCGTCGTTTTTTAAGAAATATTTATTCAAAATATAGTTCAAGGCTTCATTTTAAATAATATTCTTCTCCTCTCTCTCTCTCTCTCTCTTTCCAGCCATCAACAATTTACCCTTGGCCCAACACTGCTTCGTTCAAGCCCTAACCCTTGAACGTAAATCCTATACCACCTGGACCAATTTGGGTGTGCTGTATTTAAAATTAAATGAAATTCGCATGGCCAATCAAGCTTTCCAGAGAGCCCAACAATCCTCTCCAGTCTACCAAAATGCATGGATTGGTCAGGCCATGATTGCTGAATATATTCATGAAGAGGAAGAGGCGGTGGATTTATTCCGTCATTGTCAACAATTCGATTATCATCCGGAATCCGCTATAGGCTATGCTCATTGGGTTTGCCATATTTTATCCGATGAAGAGAAATGCAAATTACCCCATTATAAACATGCCATCGATTCAATGTATGCTGATGTGGTTGCCTTCGATGCCATTAGTTGGTATACGATAAATGAAGAGAATGATGCCTCCACGAGTGCATGGTCTTTTTTGGGATTCCTATGTGAACGTCATCGTCTATATCGTTTGGCCACGAAGGCCTATAGTAAGGCGGCCGAAAAGGCCACGGGAAATGAACGTGATTTAATGTACACAAATCTGGGCTATAGTCATTTGCGTTTAAATGAACCCAATGAAGCGATTATGGCTTTTAATAAAATTGCTCATGCCTCGTTTAAGCCAATGATTGGTTTAGCATTAGCCTATTACAAGGCTGGGCAACATCAGGAATCTTATTCGGTATATAAATCGGTATTGAAAAGTGTGGCCGGCATTGAAGATGATAAGGCATCGCGGATTTTGGTGGCAATGGCTTCGATGGTTTATGCTTTTCAGGGTGAAGCGGATACGAAAACTATTTTGTATCAATGGTAAGCTAAACATGATCTAAGTTATTAATATTTTTGAATAAATGTTTATGTTTTTAGTATCCTCCTAAAAGACTCTCCCATACAAGCCTTGTTTTCGGCCTGTGCCTTGGGTATTTTACATCATGACAATCAATTATCCGAAACTATTTTAACTGAACTGAAGAAACGTGAAAACTCGGAAAAACATGTGGCTGATATTGCCTATCTAACAGCCCAATATTATTTAGTAAATGTAAGTTTTCAAGGCCTGTAAAAATCCAATCAAAATATTTTGTTTCGGAATTTGCAGGAAATATTCTTATTTTTTAATTGAATTTTATTTACATACACCCTCGTTCCCCTATTTAGAATCAACCTCGCAAAGCTTTATGCTACCTCATGACACGTGTTCACATCTTTCCCAACTGTGCCCAATTGCGTAAAGTTTTGGCCAATTTCCTATTGGAAAACTATGGACAAAAACGTCAATATCAAACGGCCACCAGTCAAATAGCATTGAGTGCTATATCCCTGGTGCATTCAAGCAAGACAAAGAAGTATGCCACTCTGCATTTTTTCCCAATAAAATTCTAATTTCATTTTGTTCTTTTTCAGGAGTGACTCTCTGGAAGATTCTCAAACCTTGTTGGTTGCCAGCCAAGCTTTAGAGCCAGTCAATAGAAATCGTTCATTGAAACTGATACAAAAGGCAATTTTATTGCATCCCAAAAATGTAAATGCCTGGAATGCTTTATTGGCCGTACACTAAATTCGCAATGAAATTTAAAATTTATAATTGTGGAAATAAATAAATGCAGAAAATTGATTAAGTTATATAATTTTTTACTATATGCAAAAACTGAAATTTTAATTAATTGATAGGACTACAGAATATTTTTTTTAAAAATATTTCCTCAGCTACAAGCATTGTTTTTCAAGGGCTACAAGAGGCGTGGATTTCACCCATAAGAACTATAAAAAAAATGGGTTGAGGAGTCGGGTTAGTTGCCCACACTTGGAAAACCGAACCTACTATGAAAAAGCAAAGAAAAAGAAAACCAAACCCACCTAATGTTGACGACCCCCGCAAACGTATAAAGGACCACGATCTGCGAATCAGCACTTGGAATGTGCTCACGTTGTACAGAACAGGCGCAGTGTTCGCTTTAACGGATGTACTCATGAAGTACAAAGCCCATATTATTGCCTCACAGGAAATGCGATGGAAAGGGACTGGCATAAGTAAATCAGAAGATTACGCCCTGTATTATAGCTGTCATGAAACGAGACATGAATTTGGCTGCGGATTTATGGTTAACAGGAGAATAAAAGACCTCGTCTACAGATTCACTCCAGTAGATGAGCGAATTGCTATAATCACAGAAAATTCTGGTAGGAGATTTTAATGCAAAAATCGGAAGGCAACAAAAAAAAAAAAAACATGGTAGTTAGCAGCACCAGATTCAAGCATTTCGATATACACAAGGCCACTTGGATTTCTCCCGATCGAACAACGAGAAATCAAATCGATCATGTTGTGATAGACGGAAGGCATTCATCCAGTGTTTTAGACGTCCGATCGATCCGGGGAGCGAATATCGATTCGGACCATTACCTTGTGGCAGCCAAGGTACGCACCCGTCTTAATGTAGCAGCAAAAGTGCGATCTAATGTAATACGGACATTTGACGTCGAAAAGCCAAAAAAATTGACACCTAGCCAAGATGGAGTCAGAATAGCAATCAATCGGCTGAAGAATAATAAAGCAGCAAGTGCCGATGAGCTACAAGCCGAACTATTCAAGACTGGTGGTCAGATGCTGGTAAGCAGCATGCATCAGATGATTAGTACAATTTGACTAGTAGAATGCATGCTCAATGATTGGAACCTCAGCATCGATATGTGCCAACTATAGAGGAATAAGTCTCCTTCCCATCGCATATAAAGTGCTATCTAGCGTACTGCGTGAACGACTGAAGCCAATGGTCAATGACATTACTGGACCATACCAATGCGGCTTCAGACCTGGCAAATCTCCCATTAACCAGATTTTCACTCTCCTCCAGATCCTGAAAAAGACCCACGAAAAACACATCGACACATTCCACCTATTCGTCGACTATAAAGTCGCATTCGTCAGCCCTATCCGTTCAGAGGTGTATAAAGCCATGTCTGCGTTTGGCATTCCTGCAAAATTAATACGACTATGCAGGATAACTTTAACTGGCACAAGATCAGCAGTTAAAGTCGGAAATGACCTCCTCGAGGATTCGTACAAGGTGACAGTTTGTCGTGTGACCTTTTTAACATCCTGCTGGAAAAGGTCATCCGAGAGGCAAAAGTGAACAGAAATGTACACCAAACTACACATGTTACTCGCCTACGCCGATGGCATCGACACGATGGGTCGAACACTGAGAGCGGTAACAGCCACCTTTGAACAAATTAAGAAAGAGTCTTCCAAAGTGGGTCTGGCAATAAACGGCGAGAAGACCAAGCTGATGGTATCAATGCGCAAGACGTCCAGTAGACTCGGATCAGCTGTGGAACTTGAGAACTACAGCTTTGAGTTAGTCAAAGATTTTATATATCTTGGTACCGCCATAAGTAGAACGAATGACATCAGTTTTGAAATTCGAAGAAGGATAGTGATGGCCAACTGGTGCTACTATGGTCTGAGCAAACAACTCAAAAGCAAGACCACCTCCCGCCAAAACAAACTCACACTCTACAAGACGCTAATACTACTCGTGCTGTTATATGTAACTGAAGCATGGGTACTTGCGCAAGCAGATGAGGCAGCTCTTGGAGTGTTTGAGAGAAAAATTCTCCGAAAGATCTATGGGGCGATCTGCGTTGACGGTGAATATCGCCGTCGAATAAACTATGAGTTGTACCAGCTATTCTCGGACATCGACATTGTTAGACGTATTGAGCTGCAGCGACTACTTTGCCTAGGTCATGTTGTGAGAATGGATGAAGATGTCCCAGCCCAGAAGGCATATAAAAGCGAACCAGCTGAAGGTTCACGCAGAAGGGAAAGGCCATGAATAAGATAGAAAGATCAAGTGGAAGATACCATTGCCGAACATGGTCTTTCAAATTGGAACAACTGCACAAAAGACCGATGCGCCTGGAAATCTTTTTCAAACTCGGCTTATGGAACGAAAGTTCTGTCACAAGCCAGCTAAGTAAGTAAGTCTTTATGCGTGGATTTTTTAAAGATTGATTTTTAAAGACTATTTTTTTAACTCTTCTTTAGGCGTGGATTTTTTAAAGTGCTTGATTGTCCATCCCTGGCAACCGTATGAGTAATATTAATTCGTATACGCACCCATGAGCACATCTTTCATCATTTACCACTCAATGTGCTATATCGTATGTATGTACGTGTGTGTGGATCTGATTGCAATAGTTTCTTTCCTCCGAATATTACTATTCTAATTATAAATGTTGTAGCATTTTTTTTTTCAATTATTAGTTTAGTACCTAATGAGGTGAATAGCAGCAATAGTAAAAAAATAAAGAAAGGGATGTATACCCAGTTCGGAAAATCGTAAACAAATTTCAATATTTTCTATAAAAAAAAAAATAGAAAAAAACACAAATTAGTAAATTATTTGTGTAAAATTAATTTTTTTTTTTAAATTTTATTAATTATTAAGCACCGAAAAATAATCTTGGGATTATTTCCTCTTTTTGGAAAATATAGGTAGGTGATAATAATAAAAAAATGTATTGAAATAACCCCAGCTACCAGTAACAATAATAATCATGCTCATCGTTTATTTTTTTTTTGTTCTGGTGCAAGTATACAAATCCCGAAAAAATGTAAACAAAATATTTCACACAGCCCAGCTGGACTAGTTCTCACAATGGAGGATGAGCGAGCGAACGAACAATCAACCTATCGACCGACAAAGACAACCCCCAATTTCACTTTCATTCAATACTGGCTCGGCTGGAAAAAATATGTGATAGATGTTCATGCATCCGCCAAGTGCGTGTGTTTGTGTGTAATAATAAATATCATTAGAAATCGATAACATCAACTAATGAGAATTGATAAGAAGACAGCTGCAAGCTGATAAAAAAAACGAAAACTTCGAAACTAAACAGGTTCGCTTGAAGTCCTTGCAAAAATTCACGAAATCGCTTACATTAGTCTATAGAACGCAATATTAATAAACGGTACGGTACGGTTCCACAAACGCTTAGGCAAATGTAGACACACACAAAAGAAATTTCTAATTTTATATAAAGATAATAATTCGCAGATACGTTTTCCGAAAAGAGAAAAAGCTAATGATTTGTCGAGAATTAAATTTTTATAGAAAATATATTGTAAAAAATTAAAAGGATTTAAAAAGAAAATAATTTTTGGAAAATTATATTACAACAAAAAAATAGTTATTTTAAAGTTGACCACCAATAAAATGCTTTCAAAGCATTTTATTTTATGTGCTGTGTGCTTCCATATTTTTGGTATTTTCAATAATTCCTGGTCATTGGATATTACCAAATCAGCTGCAAATTTAGAGCTCATGAAAAATGTAGTCAAAATAATGGATAACCAACTTCAAGTGACGTGAGTATAGAAGAAAAAATTTCCAAAGACTTCCATAGGTCTTAAAAACATTTGAAATTGATTTTTTTTTTCGTTGACATAAAGCCAAAAAACACATTTTTATTAAAAAAAATTAATTTCTGAAGAAGAATAATATATGTATAAACGTTCTCACTAATCTGCTCGGCCTAGTTTTGTATGTAAATAATTGAAAATAGTGGGAACATGCGAAAGAAAAATGATTTCCTGTCGCCATTGCAGCTGGGGAGCCAATATGTCTACCATACGTAATCCCATGTAAATAAATGATAGCTGTATAGACATTTTATAGGTGGGATTATATTGAACACAATAGTTACAGGTTTTATTGCTAGCATGTTTCTCTATCATAAAACTCAGACAATTTACGGAAAAAAAATAAATTAAGAGACCTCTACAAAATCAACACAATAGTTACCACCACTCTGTAGTACAGGGTATTATGTCTTTGTGCATATGTATGTAACAGGCAAAAGGAAACGAGATAGACACATGGTTCCATTTGAGAATATGCATAGAATCACTTTCTGAGTCGATTTATGCATGTCCGTCCGTCTGTCCATGTTAAATTATAAACAAAGTACAGGTCGCATTTATGAAATACGACAATTGGCATATGTCACTTATTTCGCCCAAGGAAGAACCCTATAGAAACTGGGAAAAAATCGGCTCAGATTTAGATATAGCTCACATATATATTTTCAGCCGATGTAATGTAAATGGTATATCAACGTCCCTATATATCTTTCGATTTGCACGAAATTTTGCAAAGCCTAATGATTTAGGTCTACAATGCTGTGTGTCAAGTTTCCCGGAAATCGGTTCAGATTTAGATATAGTTCCTATATATGTTTTGGTTCGATTTAAGGTAAATGGTATACCAAAGTCCCATATCTTTCGATTTGCAAGTAATTTGGTACAGCGTAATGAATTAGGTCTAGAATGTTGTGTGTTAAGTTTCGTGAAAATCGGTACAGATTTATATATAGCTCCCATATATATTTTCGTCCGATTTAAGGTAAATGGTGCACCAAAGTCCCTATATATCTTTCGATTTGAACGAAATTTTGCACAGCCTAATGATTTAGGTCTAGAATGATGTGTGTTAAGTTTCCTGAACATCGGTTCAGATTTAGATATAGCTCCCATGTATATTTTCGGCCGATTTAATGTAAATGGTGTACCAAAGTTTCTATATATCTTTCAATTTGGATGAAATTTTGCACAGCGTAATAAATTAGGTCTATTATATATTTTGGTCCGATTTAAGGTAAATGGTGTACGAAAGTTCCTATACATCTTTCAATTTAGATGAAATTTGGCATAGCGTGTCTAGAATGACGTGTGCTAAGTTTCGTGAAAATCGGTTCAGATTTAAATATAGCTCCCATATATATTTTCGTCGGATTTAATGTAAATGGTGCACCAATGTAATTCTATATCTTTCGATTTGCACGAAAGTGGGCATAGCGTAATGAATTAGGTCTAGAATGAAATGTGTTAAGTTTCCTGAATATCGGTCCAGATTTAGATATAGCTCCCATATATATTTTCATCCGATTTAATGTAAGTTGTGCACCAAAGTCCACATATATCTTTCGATTTGCACGAAATTTTGCACAGCCTAATGATTTAGGTCTAGAATGATGTGTGTTAAGTTTCGTGAAAATCGGTTCAGATTTAGATATAGCTCCTATATATATTTTCTTCCGATTTTATGTAAATTGTGCACTAAAGATCCGAAGTTTGTCCGAAGTTAGATATAGCCCCCATATATTAGGATTCATCTGTTGAATATACCCAAAGTGGTGAAGGGTATCACATAGTCGGCCCCGTCCGACTTTACTACTTTCATTACTGGTTTATAAATATTTTTTGAAGGCCTCTAAGTGGCGTGGATTTTTTAAAGAATATCTTTTCAAGGCCTCTAAGAGGCGTGGATTTTTTAAACAATATCTTTTCAAGGCCTCTAAGAGGCGTGGATTTTTTTAAAGAATGTCTTTTCAAGGCCTCTAAGAGGCGTGGATTTTTTAAACAATGTATTTACAAGGCCTCTAAGAGGCGTGGATTTTTTTAAAGAATGTCTTTTTAAGGCCTCTAAGAGGCGTGGATTATTTAAAGAATATCTTTTCAAGACCCCTAAGAGGCGTGGATTTTTTAAAGAATATATTTTCAAGGCCTCTAAGAGGCGTGGATTTTTTAAGGACATTTTTTTAAGGCCTCTAAGAGGCGTGGATTTTTTTAAGGATATTTTTTTAAGGCCTATAATAGGCGTGGATTTTTTTAAGGATATTTTTTTAAGGCCTATAAGAGGCGTGGAGTTTTTAAAGGATATTTTTTTAAGGCCTCTAAGAGGCGTGGATTTTTTCAAGGCTTCTAAGAGGCGTGGATTTTTTAAAGGATATTTTTTCAAGGCTTCTAAGAGGCGTGGATTTTTTAAAGGATATTTTTTCAAGGCCACTAAAAGGCGTGGACTTTTTATAGAATATCTTTTCAAGGCTTCTAAGAGGCGTGGATTTTTTAAAGGATATTTTTTCAAGGCTTCTAAGAGGCGTGGATTTTTTAAAGGATATTTTTCAAGGCTTCTAAGAGGCGTGGATTTTTTAAAGGATATTTTTTCAAGGCCACTAAAAGGCGTGGACTTTTTATAGAATATCTTTTCAAGGCTTCTAAGAGGCGTGGATTTTTTAAAGGATATTTTTTCAAGGCCACTAAAAGGCGTGGACTTTTTATAGAATATTTTTTCAAGGCCACTAAAAGGCGTGGACTTTTTATGGAATATTTTTTCAAGGCCACTAAAAGGCGTGGACTTTTAATAAAATATTTTTTCAAGGCCTGTAAAAGGCGTGGACTTTTTATAGAATATCTTTTCAAGGCTTCTAAGAGGCGTGGATTTTTTAAAGGATATTTTTTCAAGGCCACTAAAAGGCGTGGACTTTTTATAGAATATTTTTTCAAGGCCACTAAAAGGCGTGGACTTTTAATAAAATATTTTTTCAAGGCCTGTAAAAGGCGTGGACTTTTTATAGAATATATTTTCAAGGTCTATAAAAAGCAACGATTTTTAAAGAATAGCCTTGAAAAATATTCTCTATAAAGCCTCGAAAAATTATGTTTTAAAAAATCCACGCTTTTTATAGACCTTGATAAAAATATTCATTAAAAAATCCACGCCTCTGTCTGGGCTTGAAAAATTATTCTTTAAATATTAAAGTATCTAATTATTTTGTTCTTTTATTCTTTGTAGCCCCTTCCTGAACATCACCATTTCGGCTGTACCTCCCAATTGTGTCCAGATGGTCTGTAAATTCGTTTGCTTTAATGGCCAATCATCGGAAATCGATCAGGACATTGATATTGTGGTCAAGAAAAATGTAAGTTTCGAAATTCGATTTTTATTTTTTTTTATTCTCCAACATTAAAACTCTCTCCTTCTTCTCTCCCAGGACCAACCCTGCGATGTCATTGAGGAGTTACGTTTGTATAACTACAAATTTACGGATAACCGCTTATACCATGGCTTCCTGGGTACTTATACGGATAAGGTGGAGGCATTATATGTGGCATCATCGAATGTCAGTGACGTGGCTGCGGGTACCTTTGCCGGGGGGATATTTCAAAAAATCTACTTCGAAGATTTGAAATTACGAGAATTGCGTAAAGATTTCTTTGAGGATATCAGTCGGGATTTTCAACTCCTCTCGATAATCCAAAAGGAGAATCCCTTGCGCGCGGTCAATGGAGATTTTTTGGATTATGTCAAGTATCAAATTAAACATTTGACCATGCAAGTGGGCCTGTCGTGTGTTCGCAACATCACCGGAAGTTCAAATTTATTGAATAATTTGATTTATGTGGATTTTAGTTACAATAACTTTAGGGACCATTTTACGGATAAGGTATTCAGCAAGGTATCGATGGTCGAGCATATTGATTTGTCCCACTCGAATTTGGAATATTTACCACCCTATGCGTTTGCGGATGTTGTGGACACTTTGGAATATTTGGATTTGTCGCACAATAAGTTGAAGACCCTGACGCATACGATTTTCGGTTGGCATGAAATTCCGAGGGAATTGAAAGTCTATGCCCATGGTAATCCGTGGGAATGTTCGTGTGATTTGCAGCGGGAAATGAAAGAGATTTTTATTTATCAAACTACGAAGTTGACATGTTCCGAACCAGAATCGTATGAGCATTGGTCGCTATTTGATGATCGGATTTGTGAAGAGTTTGAAACGGAGACTACAAAGATATTGGAGGTGGAGAATAACGATTCAACGCTGGCCATTGAAAAGGAGGAGGAACAGGGTGATGGGGAGAGAGATGTGGTAATTTCAACTACGACCTCCACCACGACCACCTTGGTAGCGGAGGAATTGCCGGACATTATAAATCAAGTACCTCTGCTACCGTCTTTCCCTATTGTAGTGGAATTGAAATGTTGGATCCCAGAGGCTGATAAATCTAAGGAGAATTATACGAATCAGCCTTTGAAGGTTCCCATTGTGCAGTTTGAGTTGGTACCCAGGGACCACCTAAGTGTAGATGTGGTTGTGGAAAAAATTGAAGAAAATTCAGATCCCAACTCCTCATCATCGGAATCTTCATCAGATAGTTTATCTTCGTCCACCTCCTCCTCCTCCTCGGCATCCCTGGAAGCCTACAACGAAACCATTGGCCTAATTTGGTTCAGCAAAGCCACCACCCAATTTTATAAAATGGAAATCAATTACAATGAATATGGACTGGGCTGCTACCATTCGATAACCTATACGAACACGGTCACCGAATTGGTACCCAATGTGGCCTATACCTTTTGTATGATCATTAAAGATCAATTGATGATATCTCCCTTCAATTGTAAGTCCATACATGTTAGCGGTAATCTATCGATCCAGAGTAGTGCCTGGTTGACCCGAGACATGAAGGTGACTGGACTTTCGTTGGTCGTTTTTGGTATTGTCATGTTCTCCTTTGCTGGGATTCTGATGATTTATTTGCTGCTCAAGAGGAAACCGATTCTATTGAAGGGTAGCAAAAGGGTAACCACCGTGGGTTCGCACAGTGATGAGATTGTGGTAATGCCCCGGGCCAAGTCCATAAAAGTTATGAAGGAGAAAGAAAATGCCCTGGCCAGAAAGAGGTGGGTTCTGAAGATCATTTTTTATATTCAAAAAAATTTTACATTTTCTCTCTTCCCACACAGCTCCAAACCCATTGTCATCAAGCGTCGCAAATCCACCGATAGCGTGGCCAGCTATCAAAGCTATATGAATACGAATCTGTATGAGGTAATACCAGCCTATTCTCAGATAACCGCCTCACCTACACAAAGTCGCAGCTTCGATAGCAATACTTCTTCCTCGCTTTCGTCAACCCTAACCTTGGTTAATAATGATGCCAACGCTGATTCTCAGGTGGAAATGCAGTCGTCAGCAAATCTTCATCAGCCGAAGACGAATGACACTTACGATTTGGAATCGTGCTATTTAACACCTCTAAATAGTACCGTTTCCAGTTCAGCAGATTTGGTAAATTATGCCGAAATACCATATCGTACGAAACGGGTCTCCAATGATCCGCTGCCGGCAGTACCGAAGGAGCAAAGGCGCCTGGAAGAGAGTGCCAATCGAGATATTGGTGTCATTTATATGTTGGACAGTCAGGTGTGATGGGCGTGTGTGAAGTGCCATGGAGGGTAGGGAGAGAGGAGGATTAAATACATTGAAATATCAATTTTATGTAAAATATTTTTTCCCATTTAATGTAAAGACCAATAAAGATTTTTTGCAAAAAATTCTAAACTTTAAAAATATATATATTTAAAAAAAATCACGCCTTCTATAGGCTCTTGAAAAAATATTCTTTAAAAAATCCACGCCTTCTATAGGCTCTTGAAAAAATATTCTTTAAAAAATCCACGCCTTCTATAGTCTCTTGAAAAAATATTCTTGAAAAAATCCACGCCTTCTATAGGCTCTTGAAAAAATATTCTTTAAAAAATCCACGCCTTCTATAGGCTCTTGAAAAAATATTCTTTAAAAAATCCACGCCTTCTATAGGCTCTTGAAAAAATATTCTTCAAAAAATCCACGCCTTCTATAGGCTCTTGAAAAAATATTCTTTAAAAAATCCACGCCTTCTATAGGCTCTTGAAAAAATATTCTTTAAAAAATCCACGCCTTCTATAGGCTCTTGAAAAAATATTCTTTAAAAAATCCACGCCTTCTATAGGCTTTTGAAAAAATATTCTTTAAAAAATTCACGCCTTCTATAGGCTCTTGAAAAAATATTCTTTAAAAAATCCACGCCTTCTATAGGCTCTTGAAAAAATATTCTTTAAAAAATCCACGCCTTCTATAGGCTCTTGAAAAAATATTCTTTAAAAAATCCACGACTTCTATAGACCCTTGAAAAAATATTCTTTAAGGAATCCACGCCTTCTATAGACCCTTGAAAAAATATTCTTTAAAAAATCCACGCCTTCTATGGACCCTTGAAAAAATATTCTTTAAAAAATCCACGCCTTCTATGGACCCTTGAAAAAATATTCTTTAAAAAATCCACGCCTTCTATAGACCTTTGAAAAAATATTCTTTAAAAAATCCACGCCTTCTATAGACCTTTGAAAAAATATTCTTTAAAAAATCCACGCCTTCTATAGACCTTTGAAAAAATATTCTTTAAAAAATCCACGCCTTCTATGGACCTCTGGCAGGACTTGAAAAAATATTCTTTAAAAAATCCACGCCTTCTATAGACCCTTGAAAAAATATTCTTTAAAAAATCCACGCCTTCTTTAGACCCTTGAAAAAATATTCTTTAAAAAATCCACGCCTTCTATAGACCCTTGAAAAAATATTCTTTAAAAAATCCACGCCTTGTTGTGAACCTTGGAAAAATATTCTTTAAAAAATCCACGCCTTCTATAGACCCTTGAAAATATATTCTTTAAAAAATCCACGCCTTCTATAGACCCTTGAAAAAATATTCTTTAAAAAATCCACGCCTTCTATGGACCCTTGAAAAAATATTCTTTAAAAAATCCACGCCTTCTATAGACACTTGAAAAAATATTCTTTAAAAAAGCCACGCCTTCTATAGACCCTTGAAATATATCCTTTAAAAACTCCACGCCTTCTATAGACTCTTCAATAAATATCCACGCCTCTTTAAACCTTGAATATTCTTTAAATGTCCATAATGCTGCCCCTCGTTGGGCGCCATTATTTTTTTTTAACTTTCATTGCCTTCATGGAGGTCAAAAAATTTACTTTCATTATCAGTAGTAGAATCTATTAAATAGAAAAAAAAATTATTCATCCAACTAAAAATAGGTACAACAAAACGAAAACAAAAATGAAACACAGCTTTACACTTAGATCAAGTTCTGCCCTCTTCACCTGCTAACCCCTAAATTCCGATACATTGAAACATTTGATAAGCGTAAATCTAATTTATCAATTAAAATCAGTTATAAATCATAATTGCCGTAATAAAGATAAGCTAATCGAATCAACAACAAAAACACTACACAGGGATGATGGTGATGGAATCCAATCACTCCAGTCCAGGCAGGGCAAGTTTCTGTTAGTTGCGGGTGAAATTCGGTGGCATAAGGATCAGTGCAAATATTTTTTTTGGGAAATTTGAAGTTTTGAAAATCAAAAATGGCGAAGAGAAAAACCTTTGTCTTGAGACAAGAGGATAATACAACCAAGGCCCAGGAGAAATTATATCAGCCCAAGAAATTTCGGTAGGAGAGATATATTGGAAATAAAAAATGTGTTCTTTGTTTTATTAATGACGAAATCTTACTTCATAGTTGGTGTAAATTTGTGGTCATCCCGCTGCTAATTGGTTTTATTTTATTGCTGGTCTTATCAAATGTGGATTTTACGGGAACGGCCTATAACCAAACTTCGTTGATGTTAAAGGATAATACAGTCAATATTGATAATATATCGTCGGTGGCCAAACGAATCAGGTATGTATTCGAATTTCTATTTTAGGAAAAAACTGGAAAGAATTATAAGGGCTTTGAAAAATATTTTTCAAAAAAAAAAAATCGGCTCTTGGAGGTGTGCTGGATAACAATTAAAATTAATAAATAAAACGAGTCTTAAAGGACAGTCAAAAATATTTATAAAAAATGTCTAAACAAAATGTTTTTTGTGCTGGTCGTCCGATAGGCATTGAAAAAATATTCTTTAAAAACCCACGCCTTGTAAAGGCCTTGAAAAAGTATTCTTTAAAAATCGATGCCTTGTAAAGGCATTGAAAAAAAATATTCTTTAAAAATCCACGCCTTGTATAGGCCTTGAAAAATATTCTTTATAAGTCCATGCCTCTTATAGACCTTGACAAAAATATTATTTAAATAAAATCCACGCCTTGTAAAGGCCTTGAATAAAATATTCTTTAAAAATCCATGTATCTTATAGGCCTTGAAAAAAATATTTTTTTAAAATTCCACGAATCCAAGGCCTTAAAAATATATTCTTTAGAAAGTCCACAACTTTTATTGACCCTGAAAAAATTCCTTAAAACATTTAAGCCTCTTAATGACCTTGAAAAAATGTCCGCAACCTCCAGAAACTTCTCATATGTTCATAGGATCCGTCGATGAAACCCACGTTGGGCGCCAATTAAAAAAAAAACTTTAGACGGTCTTTTATACATGTAGAGAACGTATTGATGTTCCTTAATCTATATACCCCATACTCCATATGTATATATATATATATAATTAGGAAGATCACATATTGGGCGCCATTTCCCATAACCACATTTTTTATGCGATTTATTATAAAATATTGGGCGCATATAAATTGCCTTTATGGGGACGTAAGGCCAACATGCTTAAAAAGTTTCACATTGGGCGCCACCATTAGAAGACCTTGGAAAGTTGTTCCATACTTAGGGAATCAGTACAAACTTTTCGATGTAAAACGTGTTGCTTGTATTATCTAAGGCAAAATTAATGAAGAGGAAACATGTTGGGCGCCATTAATAAAACCAGTAAGGAAAGTAGTAAAGTCGGACGGAGCCGACTATATGATACCCTTCACCACTTTGGGTATATTGTACATATGTACCCTAAAAGACGTCGCCTTTTTGAAGGAACTTTGACATGAAATTGAACGAACTTAAATATGTGATTTTTATCTATATCTAAACCGACTAACACCAATCCCTCACATGTCATTCCGCAACCTATGCAAAATTTTGTAAATCGATTTAAGGCAAACTTGACACACGCTATTCGGTATGCTGCACTCTTTAAAATTTAATCTTAATCGGACACCCATTGATTATTTGGTGTACAATTAACATGAATAAGTCGAAATGGAAGCTATTCTATATCTGAACCGATTCTTGCACCAATTACCTTAAATCGGAAGAAGATATATATGGTAGCTATATCTAAATCAGAACCGATTTTCACAAAACTTTGCACTCATCATTCTAGATATAATTCAGTACGCTATGCCAAATTTCGTGCAAATCGAAAGATATATAGGGACTTTGGTACACAATTTACCTTAAATCGGACGAAGCTATATATGGGTGCTATATCTAAATCTGAACAGATTTTTACAAAACTTGGCATATATCATTCTGGACCTTATTTATTACGCTGTGCCAAATTTCGTGGAAATCGAAAGATATATAGGGACTTTGGTACACCATTTACCTTAAATCGGACGAAAATATATATGGCAGCTATATCTAAATCTGAACAGATTTTTACAAAACTTGGCATATATCATTCTGGACCTTATTTATTACGCTGTGCCAAATTTCGTGCAAATCGAAAGATATATAGGGACTTTGATACACCATTTACCTTAAATCGGACGAAAATATATATGGGAGCTATATCTAAATCTGAACCGATCGTCACGAAGCTTTGCAAACATCATTCTAAACTTAATTTAGTACGCTATGCCAAATTTCGTGCAAATCGAAAGCAAAGATACATAGGGACTTTGGTACACAATTTACCTTAAATCGGACGAAGATATATATGGGAGCTATATCTAAATCTGAACCGACTTTCACGAAACTTTGCACACATCATTCCAGACATTATTCATTACGTTGTGCTAAATTTCGTGCAAATCGTAAGATATATAGGGACTTTGGTACACCATTTACCTTAAATCGGAATAAAATATATATGGGAGCTATATCTAAATATGAACCGATTTGTCCCAATTTCAATAGAGTTCGTCCTTGGGCCAAACAAATGACCTGTGTCAAATTTCATCCAATTCGAAACATAAATGCAACCTGTACTTTGTTTAACATGGACAGACGGACGGACATGCATAAATAAACTTAGAAAGTGATTCTATGCATATTCTCAAAAGGAACCATGGGTCTATGTAGAGTCCTTTTGCCTGTTACAAACATATGCACAACGAAATAATACCCTGTACCACAGTGTGGTGAAGGGTATAAAAAAATTTGTAGACGCTCTTCGAAGAGACTGTACATCCCATAGAAAAATCGCTATTTATGTAACATACCGAGAAGAAACGTTGGGCGCCATTTTTTCAAGTATTATTATTTTGTTTGGTAATTGTTAAGGTTATGCATAATAGAATTTAAAAAAATTGTAGCTTGCTATAAAAACCATCCGAAGTATATGTAATACCCTAAGGCT